AGGTGCATCAACTATTTATTATTCTGTTTAATATTGTACCTTGCGTTAACGCTTCCCATTCCCCCCCACTGCCCCCACTTTCCGTTCAAAACGATAAGAGGAGAGAACGAAACAGCAACTAAGAAAAACACAAGAGACTCGACAAACGAACTGGACGGTAAACGGAGGACAACAGTAAACAGCAGTAAACAAAAAAATGCAAATGCAAACAATGTTAACAGCCAAAAACAAGCAAGAGATAGATAGAGAAAGAGATAGAGAGAGAAATAGAAAGAGAGGGAAACTTATTGAGTTTTATTTGCAAAAGAGTGATTTTTTGTAGTGAAAATATTTTATACACACGTTACGGATGGATTGTATGGTTCGTCGGAGGAGGAGGGGAGAACATAGCGAAATGTTAATTATTACGTATATGTATATATTTTTTAAGACAAATTGTTCAGATTTATTATACGAGTACTAACAACAAAAGCAAAACAAAACAAAACAAAAAACATGAAACATGAAAAAAAGAAAAACCCATGGAAAAAAACAATGTGGCCCACAAAAAAAAAACAATTTAGTGTTTAAAAAGCCAACAAACAAACAAACGGCTGAAGTGAAAGGAGATGCAAAAAAAGAAAAAAAGAGGGAAGAGAAAACAAACCTTTACGGACAAATTAAAACAAGTAAAACAAGTTAACATTACATTGTATAAGTAGTTAGTAATTTAAAACTAAAACCCAAAATGAAAATAAGCTAAAAGTCACAAAAAATGATACTAAAAGCAAAACAAAAACAAAACAAACAAAAAAAAATCAAACAAAAAAACAAAACGGTTTATGTATACAAACGATGTTTTTTTTTTATTATTATTAATGTTGTTAAGTTACGATAAAGATAACGAATAATGGTACGGTCCAGAGCCAGACTACACCCACAATATAACACTCCCACTCATGCTCACCCACACATACACACACACACATACACCCAAAAAACGAGTGCATTTTGTTAGATGTTAAACATAAAAAAAAAACAAAACAAAAAAATGGAAATCGAAATCAATTTTTAAACGCCAGATATCTCTTCAACCATAACGAATAACGAAGGAAAGGGATATAAATCTAAATCTAAATGAGAAAATAAAGAAAATAAGCGAAGAGATCGCATTTCAAGTTACTAACAAACACACACACACACAATTTTTTAACCAGGCCAGATGTATTCACGTACATAAACTAAGAAAATTTTCATTGCAAGCCAGCTGAATGTGTGGAATATGCAAACATTGTTGTGGTAGTTACAGAAGGCGAGGAAACATACACGTAAATTAAAATATAAACAAAACAACTTGCAATAAATGTGTATACAAAAAAAAACGGTCGGCTTTGAGTTTTTCATTTGAGTTAACCGCAAATGTGGTTGCTATTGATGTCATAGAAGTGAGCTTCGCCCAGGCATCGATTCAACTATCAATCAGCTGGGACCGTGAATATCGATACAAAATACGAAAACTATCCCTGTTCATCATGAAAACGTAATACAAAGTATTGATATTTCCAAAATGAGCTCCATATTCAGAAGACTAGGTTCGTTGATTTATTCCACAAAAACATGCTTCCGCTTAATCATATATATCGCGTAAAATATATCATCCAAACATAAATACCTTATCGGTATAAAATTCATTATATTTCTTTTGGAACGATTAACTTAACCCATTGTCGACCACGGGGTTATTAACCGTTTATGGTATTTATTGGTGCCAAAATTGAGCAAAAAGAATTTTATTTTTTCTTGGTATATACTGGTATTTTTGAACAACTTCCTGGTATATACAAATTTCAGCAACATGGGGAAATGAACTAGCAGCATTGTTGTGCAACATTGTCACTGAATGAGCAACAAATCCGCATTCCTTGGGAAAAAGGATATTATATAATAAAGATATTGTTTGTAATTTCAGCCTCCAATTAATGCAGAAACTACTCAGTCTCTGTTTTAGAGATATTAACTATATTTTTCAGCCAACGGGTACCAATAATAGGCATCAGAACCGGCATAAATGTATGTACAAACACACAAAAACTATGCATTTATAGGTAAAAAAAAAACTCAATCTAAGAAAATTTCAATATTAATGTTTCAAAACAGCTTGGAACAACAAATTTTACATCAATTAAAGGAAAAAGGGTATACAAATGTCTATACGCAGGCATAAATTGGTTGACAAGCAATAATGACGTCACATTTAGTCAACATTTACGTTTTAAGCTTTGGCCGCTTGTTTGAACCTTATTATGTAAACAATCCAATGAAAAAGAGTTCTGAAAACGAGCTAATCCTGAACAAAATTTATTGAGAAATTGGATAAAATTATATGTTTAGGGCTAAACTAGCTACAACTAGCTAGTAATATTAAACTGAATATAAAAATTATGGAATACGATTTTGTTTAAATGGAGGGGGCTTAGTGGGCTAAGTTTTCTTTCCGGTATATTTACGGTATATACAGAAAATATATTTCGGGATATTTTTGAGGTCATACCGATAAACACGTTTCTCGGCCATTTTGTCAAAACTCCCAGCGGCATCCAGACGTAAGTTCCACGAAAATTTGTAAATAGTTTAACAAAAGAGTGATATTTGACTATGAAATTGAGAAATCTAAGCCACATAAGCAAAGCCCGACAGTGGGGAATTAACGGCAGTGTATTTGTTGTTGATTTTCGCACATTTTGTTGGGTGGAGCACGTGGAAGTGAGCATTAGTTGGGTTATGTTGAGGCGACGGAGTGCTAACACGAGTTTTTGTTTCCATTTCACAGGTTCCGTAACTCTTTCCACGTTAAAATGTCGGGAGGCTTAGATATCTTGTCCCTCAAAGAGGATGACATTACCAAGATGTTGGTCGCCACCACCCACTTGGGGTCGGAGAACGTCAACTTCCAGATGGAGCAGTACGTCTACAAGCGTCGCGCCGATGGTGTTAACATCATCAACCTGGGCAAGACCTGGGAGAAGCTGCAGCTTGCCGCTCGCGCCATCGTGGCCATTGAGAACGCCTCAGATGTAAGTTAACGCTCCGCTCTTGTGCGCCCTGCTCTATATTCAGCTTGTGTGTGAGGTGCCGCGTGGTTCATATGATGATTTTTTTATCTTTCGGGTATGAAATGAAATGATTTCAACTTAAAGCTGATATGCCACGCCTCACAAAGCCCACAGATAAAGCAGCTGGTTCTCCACAGTCTCAGTAAAATGCAGTAAATTAATGTTCTCCCTCCATTCGGCAGGTTTTCGTCATCTCGTCGCGTCCCATCGGCCAGCGCGCTGTGCTGAAGTTCGCCAAGTACACGGACACCACTCCCATTGCTGGCCGCTTCACGCCCGGTGCCTTCACCAATCAGATCCAGCCCGCTTTCCGCGAGCCCCGTCTGTTGGTTGTCACCGATCCCATGACCGATCACCAGCCCATCATGGAGGCCTCGTACGTGAACATCCCCGTGATTGCCTTCACCAACACCGATTCGCCTTTGCGTTACATCGATATTGCTATTCCATGCAACAACAAGTCTGCTCATTCCATTGGTCTGATGTGGTGGCTGTTGGCCCGTGAGGTGCTCCGTCTGCGTGGCACCATCTCGCGCACCGTCGAGTGGCCCGTGGTCGTTGACTTGTACTTCTACCGCGATCCTGAGGAGGCTGAGAAGGAGGAGGCCGCCGCCAAGGAGCTGCTGCCACCACCCAAGATCGAGGAGGTGGTCGACCATCCCGTCGAGGAGACCACCAACTGGGCCGATGAGGTCGCCGCCGAGACTGTTGGCGGTGTGGAGGACTGGAATGAGGATACCGTCAAGACCTCCTGGGGCAGTGATGGCCAGTTCTAAGATGATGACAGCTCAACCCACATGTTGAACGATTCTTCAGCGACATAAATACATTTTTTTATTTATGCTTATCCCCAAAAAATATTACCACGTTTTTCATTTCTTTGTCATGCTTGGTTTAAAGCGAGACAGCTAGCTAGCTAGCTAACTGGCGTCTGTTGCTGCACTCTGCAGCAGGGATTAGAAAGGGATGGCTAGAGTGCGAGTGTGTCCGCATCAATTTGGGAGAGCGATCGGCACGCATGTTTACACACTGTAAATAATTGGAAACTTATATTTGAAGACTGTCGCAATATGTAGTGCACGTGCAGAAATCCGACCCCCTTTCCCACACACACACAGACACACACAAATGCAATTCCACAGACTACTCGCCGCATCAATTTACAGTTATTTATAGTGTTTTTTTGTTTGTTTTTGTTTATTTCGACTTATTACAAATAGAAAACAGTTAATGATTGCAATTGCAAATTGCCTAATGGTATACATATATATATATATTCATATAGTTATCCTTCCCATCCGAGAACGTACGATTAGAGGTGGCTTCCCATCGAAAAAAATTAATGCTTGTTTGTATATATATATATAAACGAACGAATGTACGTATAAAATAATGTTAGAGACAAATCGAGTAATTCTGGTAAAAAAAAACTATATATGTTTGTAGTACGTGTGTATCGTGTATCGTGTATTGGTGTGGTTGGTTCTAGACAAGCGTTTCCAGGGCGCTGATCTCTTGGATCTTGGATATCTCCTGCTAGGTAGAAGGATTCGCGTCTGCCGCTTCGAGTCCTGCTGTGTCCAGGAAATATCATTTAAATTGTATTCTTTTTTTTGTTTTAATTTTCCTTCTGGTTTCTGGCTAATGCTTCTGCTTATGGATACAACATTTGTTTCCTTGTTTGTTGACCAGATCTGATCTCCTTCGTAGTACAAAAATAAATGTATGTATATGTATAATCCTCACCCCCGCGTATCGCCTAGTTTTGCTCTAAATTACAGATTACAGTTCCGGAAAGTGGACAAAAGGAAAGGGGGGGATTTTTGGGTGCGGAGGGAGGAGGGGGGGGGGGGCCTTAACATCGAAATTTTGGACAATTTTAAAGTTTTTTTTTTTTTGTGTGGGCTACTTGAAGGGATTTGGACGCGCCTTGAATACCGTCATCTTTCGTATCTCCTTGATCTCCTCCTGCTCGCATCGCTTCCGTTGTTCGTCTTGCTGAAATGGTAGGTGGGAGGGGAAACAAAAAAGGGGTTAGCACGGCTAGCCACATAATTGTTGCTAATCTAATCGTAAATAGGCAAGAGTAATGGTTAATGGTAATGGTAAAATCCCAACATCTGTTCCCCCCACTTCCCCACCACCAGAGTTCCAATTAGCCGGCGTTTATGTAACGCCTTCAGCAGCACGAGGCGGCGGGAATTTGTTGATATGTCCGGTGACTGATGGGGCGCCGACTGAGTCACTTGTCCAGCCGCAAAGACGCTCCCTCACAGTCACCGTCACAGTCTATCAGACGAAGCTCAGCAACTTGGTGGGAGGGGGGCGAGCTTAGCCTCAGAGCCAGAGCCAGAGTCTGAGTCATGTCGGGGATTTTATTCAGAGCAGATCTCCACTACTGCTGAGACTGACCCTGGGTTGCTACATCTCCCGGCTCCGATACGAGCCCCAGTTGGTATCTCTGCCTCTATCCTCTGGTTCGTTTTCATTCTTCTCTGGCGGGGCAGCAGCAGCAGTTTGTTTGCCAGTGAAAAATAGAGTAAAAACAACAAACGGCCCTGGGCCTGATAAGATTATCACACACACACACACACACAAACACATAGAGAACAGAGCCGGGGCCAGTATGGAATTTTCGCGCGAGCGGAGGAGCTAAGACTAAAACACAAGGCAAGGTCGAGTGAACGAGTCAACACTCTCCATGAGAAGATACATGAAGGGCATATAATGGGTAGTACAAGAATATATCTATGATTATATATGTATGTTTGTATGTTTGTATGTATGTATATGAGAATGTGCGGTGTACCCGTTATCCGATCGTGTTTGTCCGTCTGCAACTCCGTCCGTCCTGTGTCTGTTGTCTCAACAGTGGGAGCCCGTCATTGAGGAGGCCACGGCAGGATTCTGGCTGGGACTGACGGTCGTCGTGGAGGAGGAGGATGTTGGCGTTGCAGCGGCTATCGTCGATTGGCTATCGTCCGCGGAGAGCACGCTGCTGTCGCCGTAGAAGCGCGGCTCGTCGTGCGATTCGCCGCCCGGCGAGGTCGTCTCCTCGTCAGTGTCCTCATCGTTGGAGCTATCGCCCGCCGGGCCATGACCGCTGGCATTGTGCTTGACGCCGCCAGCGGTCGCGCCCGCCAACTCCTCGCCAGCACCGCTGGGCACATGCTTGAGACGCTCATAGCAAGCATCGCAGACGCGCAGCGATTTCGTGCTCTGCTGTGGCAGCAGGAACTTCTTCGAGGAGCAGCCGGCGCAGACGACGGCGCCGCAGCTGCGGCAGTGGTGCCGGCGCTGGATGAATGTGAACTGCGTCCGCTTGCAGTGCATACAGATGCTGGCGTCCGTGTCCGGCACCCAGACGGCGGCGTGATTCTCCACGGGCTTCTTGCCGCTCTTGCGCAACAGATCCTCCACACACTTGTTGATGTGGGCCATCCACTCCTGCTTCTCGGTGCTGGTCGCCGCGTACACCACAAACGATTTGGTGGTGGTGCGTATGTACCAGCCGTTCCGGTACTGCTGATTGTCCACAATCGAGTCCAGCGACACCTCCTCCAGCGGCATGATGTGCTGCTTGTTGTACTTCTTCTTGCCGATCACAATGTTTCCGTACACGAGAATGTCGTTGAATAGGAAGAACTGGCGTGACTTTGGCCGCTTGCGGCACATTTTGGTCAGCACACCCTCGCCGACCAGTACACGGCCGGGAACGGCCAGCGGTACACCAGAGCTACCGAAGCAGCTCTCCACGGAGGCGATGCGGCGCGTGTTGGCCTCCGAGTTGACAAGACGATCCACCATGGTGGTAGTGGCTGACTGCTGCTTGCTGCTGGCTCGGTTCCGACTGGCGAAAGTGGGTTGCTCTGGGTCTGGGCTGTCTGTCTCTTCCTCTCTCTGTCGCTCCTCTGCGTCTCTGGCACACACACTCGCGCACACACACACTATGTTTTCTATTGCTGTGTGTGAACAGTCTTCCCGCTGCTTCGGTTCCCTGGTCTCACTGGTTGCGACACTCTCCACTCTCTTCACTCTCCACTAGCGACGACGACGACGACTGTTGCTGCTGCGGCTTCTCCACTCAGTGCTGCCGCCCGTGGCTGAACATAAAAAATAAACCGAAAAGTACTCAACTGTGACGACAGACGGCTTCTGTTGCTTGTGTGAGTGCGTGGCTGGTCGAGAGTGTGCTGGCGAGTATGTGACACTGACTGTTGCCTGCTGCGACTGTGTGTGTGGGTGCGTGCGTGTAGATATGGGCGCAGCTGTTGCAAATCCTTCCGTGCGATTTGGTTCCTCCACCGTCTCAACTGGAGTAGACTCGGCTTGGGGCGGGGGGGCTCGCAGTGCCGCTGATTCCGGTCAACTGTTGTGTGCGGGTTGCTGCTGATGCACGCTTTTTTTATGCAATGCACAATGCTTTTCTACGCCGTCCGAAACGCCATGACTCACTCACACTACTAACAACAACAAAAACAAACTTGGCTCCGTGTACGTTTAAGTAACTTTCTGATGATTTAAAGATATTTTCGTCTAAAGTGAAAACATTCACTGGGCTTGTTGATATGTTTGGGTCCTACTCAACTCGGAACTGCTCAGTCTAAAGCACAGTGGCGTTCCCAAAACACTTAAAAATAAGTTTATTTCTGCGAGCACGCAGATGTGAGCTGGTTCAGCGGAACTCTCTTTCTGAGCTATCGACATCGCCGGAACCAGTTCACCCACCGAACGTTGCCTATCGATAGCCGCCACTAGTGGGGGGTGGACATTTCAAACATAACGGATCAGATGGACAGACAGCTGGAAAAATAAACCAAAAATTGTTTGCACATACAGTTACCTCTTTTTTCTTCTTATCCTGGGTGACCTGCACAGCAGCGTCATATTCACGGCGCTCGCGCACGCGCTGATCACAGCGCAGCTGGAACGGTTTAGGATGGCTGGGCTGGGCGTCGTGCAGGTGAAGCGGGCGGCGGACTTGGTTTAACTGGGCCTGCTGCTCTTGCTCCTTGCGCTTGCGGCGCTCCAAATCCGACTGCCAGTGCTTCACCGTTTCTGGAGTGTGGGGAATTGTTATTTTGTGGCAGACCACGACCTCATCCAAGCGCTTGTGCATCGCCGAGAAGTTGGGCATTGGGCGGCTGTGGAATTGTCGCGCCTTACGCTCCTCCTCATTGCGCTGGCGCACCGCCGCCTCCCGATTATGTTGGTATATGTTCTTGAAGTCGTACGCCTTGGGCGGCGCCGTGCCGGTGTCGTGATTGTGTGTGTGCGGCCTGGGAGACCACTGGCTTCGCAACTTGAGGCCCATTTGTGGCTCATGCGATTCCTCGGCCTTGACCTTGACCTCCTCCTTTTCTACCTTTACATTCAACTTAAACTCAGGTTCATTTGGGTTCAGGTCTGTTTTCGGTTTTGGCATAAGTATTGGCTCCCCTTCCCTGACAAGCTCCTCCTTTGGTTTTAGGTTAGTTGGTGGCTTAGCCTCGACCTGCGTCTCCTCCTTTGTGCCTGTTGGTGATTTCACATCGTTGCTGTCGGAGTCCCAGCTGAGAGGAATGATTTTTTTGGTGTCACGCTCCACCATCATCATCGGTTGACTGTTGGCCATCTTCGCCTGCGGAGTGGTGCCCAGGAGAAGGTTCCCATTGTTCAGCGGTTTGTTTTCCTTGTTGGCAGCAGCTGCGTGAGACAGAGAAAAATGGCGCGGTTTTGTGGCTTGCTGTAAATCGGACTCGCTGACAAAGTGTGTGCGACGTACCAAAAAAGTTCTCCGAGTGATCCAGGGCTAAGTCACCAACGTTGATGGAGTCCCAGTCAAACTGTGCATTGCCAACAATTATATTAGGGTTATCCATGGCTATGTCTCTGTCTGCGTTTTGGCGACAATTTTTTCAAATAACAAAAACACACAAACACACACGCTCAGCAGTGTGGCCGCGGACTTGTCGATAAATTATACCGCCTGACCATCAAAAATATTCCGAAATATACCGCCTCATTTTCAAAATATACCGTAAATATACTGAGGAAAAAAAAAACGAACTTAGCCCACTTAGCCCCGCTCTATTTAAACAGTTGAACACATTGAGTTAAACCGGGATAAATAATAATGTTTGTAAATTCTTCTTGTAGATCTTAACTTTCCTCTTTACTCACAATTAAACGACCCACAATATAATTCACCTGAAATGCGTAAAAAAATTTTCAAGTTTCATAATATTCGTGAGTAAACTGATTATACCAACTGGTCGACAATGGGCGTTCTCTGTTCATGATGGGAAATCATATTGCCTGATTTTGATATTCGATTTAATATTACTAGCTAGCTAGGAATCTCAGCACTTAACATATAATTTTATCCGATAGATAAATCAATTTTCTACTAGATTGACTAACATTGATAATGCCTTTTTATTTGATTTTATATAAAAAAAGTTTTTAACCAAAACGGCCAAAACATATAACGTAAAACTTCTATGAGTAAATCTTCCCCGTATGAAATGCCGCGAAATGGAACCGTTGCAGTCACGGTTGCCACACCTGGCCACTTTTCGCCTGCGGTTGTATTCCACTCCACTAGTGAAAATAACTAAAAGGTTGATGAGTCCAAATGAAGACTTCATGGGAATAGAAGGCAGTGTGAGTGAGAGAAATATATGAATTGTATATTGACGAATTCTGATTTTTTTTTATATGGCAACCGTGGCTGCAGCCCAGCTTTTATGCTTCCCAAAAGCTTGGCAAGCTTTGACTTGGACAGCCAGCTTAGTGCGGGCTTTTCATCTGCCCCGAAAATCAGCTATTTTGTGCTGGGCAACGCATGGCAACAGGTCGTGCTGTGAACAGAGCTCTGCCTGCCCCGCCTCCACCTGCGCTCCACTGAGCCACTGACTGGGAGAGTTTCGTATTTTCATCCATCGAATGTAATTGTTGATGTGCTGTGTGCTGCTTCTGTCGAGAGTTCCGTGGAAAACAAACTACGCGCGCTAAAAATACCCGTTCGCTTGGTAGCACCTGCTCACCATCCCAGCATCCTTGACAGTCCCACGCCCGCGAGCGTGGCCCATCCCTACCCCCGTCAGCTGCAGCGCATTGCCTTGCCTTGCCACACACTTTTGGGCGCCAAAGTCAAAGCTGAGAGAGTGCCAGTGCGGAATGCTGCGCCTTGGCTGCGTGCAACACTAATTAGCCCTGAAGTGGGGATACCTCGAGTGGAGAGGAGACAACAGACACCAGGTGAGCCCTAGCTTTAGCTCGTTTTTATTTTTAAACCACTCTCTGTTCATGTCCTGCACCTGCAGCTTCCAGCCCCCACACAGCCCACAGACTACACACACGCACACACATGAGCATCTCATTACGGGTCCGAAATCTCATTGTAAAATGTACGCTGCACACACAGGGTAATGCAAATGCATCCCACGGCCACCAAATGCCGTAAAGCTCTGCCACTCACCCACTCTCTCCACCCCCCCTCGTGTGAGTGGGCAACAGTGTGGTTCGTACTTTGTTATGGACCTAATTGCCTGGTGGTTTGTTTTTTCTGTACGGATGAAATCCGATTACGACTTTCTAACCCAATCAGAGAACAAACTCCGCATCCTGGTTGCCATCCGAGGCCAGGGCCAAAGGTCTATTTTAGTGTCAGGCTCAAAGTCCACCTGAGCTCCTGCATGGGATGGGAAAGGTATGGTGAGGCACCTAAGTAATTACTCGATCCCTCTCCAAATCAATAACGGTTTAAAATTAACTGCTTAGGCGGGTGGCGGCTGGCGGCGAGCTGCTGCTGCTGCTGCTGCTGTCGGGGCGGATACGGATGCGTGCATACTTTTGAGTGCCCGTCGATGCTAATTCGATTTCCTGAGTTCCCTCTTAGATGCCCTTCACCTGTCACCAGAACAGACAGCAGCGGAAAATAAGTGTTACTTGTGCGTGATGGTAGCAAGAGAGCGGTAGCGGTAGCGGAGACAGCAAAAGGAAATTATATTACTACACGAGAGCAATAGAGGACTCTATTACAAAGAGACAGATAAAATGAGAGAGAGAGAGAGAGAGATGTAAAGAGAGTGTGCAGCTCCAGCTCGCGGTAAATGGCAGGGCAAATAAATACAGTTACAGGGTGCGAGCATTACCGTTCCCCGACAGAAGATATGTTTGTGCACACACACCATACGTAGGAGAGCAATTCCTCAACCTATGCTATAAGTTTGCACGTGCGACACTGCACTGCAAAATACGGTAAAAGGGACCAGAAGCAACGGTTCGATCTGATGGTCCCGAGCCTGGCGAATAATTGACTTTGTTGCTCAGTGTACTACTTGTCGCTCAACTCGATTGTGTGCTCCTTTGAAAGGAGAGAAGGAGAGAGGAGCAAGCATGGCATAGCGGCTGGTTGTCTAGCAACAGCTTGTTACGGGGAGAGGAATTCCCTCCCGCTCCCACAATGGACCACAGACCGAGTCCATAATCCGCTTTGTCCCAAGAGGCGAATCCGGATTACACAGATGCACTCCACACTCTTGTGAAACACATTTACAGCTATGGATGTGTTTAATTAGAGGGAAGCAGGCAAAAATGAAACATTCCTGCTGTTCTGTTTCTTTTTTTTAAAAAAAAAAAAAAAAAAAAAAAAAGAGAAAAAAAAAAAAAAGGGAAAGAAAAAAAAAAAAAAGAAAAAAAAAAAAAAAAAAAAAAAAAAAAAAAAAAAAAAAAAAAAAAAAAAAGAAGAGAAAAAGGGGAAGGGGGGGGGGGGGGTCTGTCTGTGTGGTTGGGTGGGGGGTGTTGGGGGGGGGGTAAAAAAAAAAAAAAAAAAAAAAGAAAAAAAAAAAAAAGGGTTAAAAACAAAATGAGAAAAAACACTGCCACAAGTGTATTTCAAAATTTCGCCCCGCCCCCTTCCGCCCCAAAAAAAAAAAAAAAAAAAAAAAAAAAAAAAAAAGAAAAAAAAAAAAAAAAAAAAAAAAAAAAAAAAAAGAAAAAAAAAAAAAAAAAAAAAAAAAAAAAAAAAAAAAAAAAAATAACCGCCCCCCCCCCCCCCCCAACAAAAAAAAAAAAAAAAAAACAAATTCCTCAAACCCCCCGCGCCGAAAAGGGGGGGGGGCGGCGGGGGAAAAAAAAAGGAAAAAAAAAAAAAAAAAAAAAAAAAAAAAAAAAAAAAAAAAAAAAAAAAAAAAAAAAAAAAAAAAAAAAAAAAAAAAAAAAAAAAAAAAAAAAAAAAAAAAAAAAAAAAAAATATTTTTTTTAAAAAAAAAAAAAAAAAAAAAAAAAAAAAAAAAAAAAAAAAAAAAAAAGGGGGGGAAAAGAGGAGGGGCCCCCCCGAGAAAGCCGCCCGGCCCGTTCTCTTTTGTGCTCTGCCTTTGTATGCGAAGTTCTGGAAATGCCGTTTAAAAAGGTTTTTGCTTTGATGCGTTGCCTGAGCTAACGGGCATGGGCATGCCCCGTGTGTCGTTAATTTTGACATCGCCACCCTAGTAACGCCCAAACCAATCTGTATTCCAGGGTATGCGATGTGTCGGTATCTGTTTATTTTTATTTATTTTTTTTTTGTTTGAAGTACCGCTAAAAAAGTCCACATACCCATCTCCGCCTGTCCAGAAGCTATTCAACAAAATTTCGCCAAGACAGAAAACGAGACAGAAAATCAATAAATCGGGATTTAATGAGTTTCAAATATTTGCTGCTGCAAAAGCCAGGGAGGGCTGCGGGCGGAGGGACTATGCTTGTGAATGGAGTACCGCCCCAGCCCCCTTGGCTCCACTGTTCCGCCTGTCACCCTGAGCTAAGGGCTAAGCTAAGTCAGGGGCTGCCTGATGCCTAGACCCGCAACCTCAATCAATCTCTGGGCTTTAATCTCTTGTGCTTGCAGGACGGAATGCGTCTGCTGCCGCCACAGACAACGGAACAGCCAGAACGAGACCATGACGAACACAAACACCATCGATTACGACTACCTGCTCAAGTTCCTGGTGCTGGGCGACTCTGGGGTGGGCAAGACCTGCCTGCTCTACCAGTACACGGACGGGCGGTTCAACACACAGTTCATCTCCACGGTGGGCATTGATTTTCGCGAGAAGCGGCTGGTAAGTAGATCTCTCCTAGAGCTTCGACAACATATTCAGACCAAACGATTACCCTTGGGGCGGGCGTCTGCCCAACAGGTGTACAACTCGCGCGGACGTAGACATCGCATACACCTGCAGATCTGGGATACGGCCGGGCAGGAGCGCTTCAGATCGCTGACCACGGCCTTCTACCGGGATGCAATGGGCTTTCTGCTCATTTTTGATCTGACCAGCGAGAAGTCCTTTCTGGAGACCGTCAATTGGCTGGAGCAGCTGCGCATGCACGCCTACTCCGAGGATCCCGATGTGGTGCTGTGTGGCAACAAGTGCGATCTGCTGCAGCTGCGCGTCGTCAGCCGCGACCAGGTGGCGGCCCTCTGCCGCCGCTACCGTCTGCCCTACATCGAGACGAGCGCCTGCACCGGCGCCAATGTCCAGGAGGCCGTACAGCTGCTCGTTGGCCGCGTCATGGATCGCATTGAGAACGCCGCCTGCAATCGGGAGCTCTCCCTGCTGCTCACCCAGTCCCGGTGTCTGCCCAATATTGCCTATGGCCCGGAGCTGCTGCGTCTAAACGAGACGAGCGGTGAGCCCTCGGGCCGTGGGCGACGCAACTGTCGCAATTGTTAAGGAGATCCACCTCCTCCTCCTCCTCCCCCAAATCTCACCCAGAGTTCTTTGTGTTTATCTCGTTTATGGTTCTACATGTGTGTTTTTCGATGTAAATAAATGTTGATTGTTGAATGGAATCATCCCCGTGGAAAGCTTTAGCTCTAAGCAGGATTATAGCCACATGAATACTGAATACTGGCTGTAAATGTCAGGAGGAACAACAGCAGACTGAAACTGAGGCCCAGGCCAGGAGACGTTCGGGATCGGGCCACACCACTCCGCTCATCGATCCACTGCTGATAGTACTGCACATCCACGTAGACGCCCGGCAGGCCCGGCTCCGCACAGCCGTAGCCCCAGGAAACGACTCCAATGAGGCGACCCTCGTGCACCAGCGGACCCCCGGAATCGCCCTGGCATGAGTCAGTGCCGCCCTGGAGGCGGCCGGCGCACATCATGCCCGGCAGCAGGCCCAACTTGTAGATGCTGCGGCAGGTCTGCTGCCGAATGGTGCTCACATTGGCCGTCAGCAGAATGTTGGATAGGGTGCTCTGCAGGGGGATTACAGCGGAATGAATGGTTTTGGGCGGACAATGGTTTACTCACCTGCTCTGTGCGTCCCCAGCCGGCCACTTGGCACACGCGACCCGCAGGCGTGACCTGCCTGGCCAACTGGATGGGCGCCACGCTGGACGGATTATCGGGGCGGATCATCAAGCCCGTGCGCAAGAACAGTACCCCCACATCGTCGCGCATGCTGTCCGGACTGAAGGTGTTCATGTAGGCCATGGAGCTCACCTCGGACACAATGGTGCCGTTTGGGCGTTCGTATCGGTTCAGGGTGCCCATGACCACAATCAGTTCGCTGGGCCTACGATAGCGTTTCCTGCCATTGCTTTGGGGTTACACCAGTGGGTCAGTAGTGGGTCAGGCTGGGTCCGCGCTGTGTACTCACTTGTAGAGGCAATGGGCGGCGGTGAGCACCTTGTTGGCTGCAATGAGTGCTCCGCCGCAGATGTGTCCGCTGCCAAAGTTATTGTCATGCCTTCTCAGGCGAATGGAGACGAGATGCCTGGTCTCCGCCACACTGGCCACGCTGCCATTGATGATTCGCGGCTGTGTGTCTGTCTGGGCGGCTGTTGGCAACAGAGGCAACACAGGCTAGAGGCTATAGAGCAGCTCCCAAAAGTAAAATTCATATCCCAGATTGGCCCACTTACCCACTCTGCCGCAGATGAGAAGCCATAGAAAGCAGCCTAGACCCAGTTCTAGTCCATGTCCCATTTTCGATGAATCAACTTGAAGTGCGCGACCCTCACTGAAGTGCCCCGCCGACATGGGGAGATGGGAGGGCTCCGCTCTGCCAGCTCCAATTGGCAATCAGCGTCGCAGACTATCAGCCAGATAAGAGACTAACATAAACATATTAAGCGGAGGCGACAACTCCCCAACGCCTCGCCTTGCCTCGCCTTGCACCGCCCGCAAGAATAGGCCAAGTCGGAGTCATGTGTATGTGTGCTCTTTAATACATGTATATAAATGGATGGGAGTCGGAGCTCGAGCTCGATCGATGCTCGGCGTGTATAAATATGTATAATATTCGATGGTTAGATTGTAGATTGCAGAGCGGGAGAAGGCACTTTTTGGACGGCTTCGATTGCAGCAGTTAAGAGAGAGAGATTGCTAAACGTAGAGATTGCAAATTGCAGATTGCAGGTGATATATGATAGGGTGGAGAGACCCTATAGACCTATGTCTACTTATAAAGATTCGCATGGAATGGAATGCATTGAAGTTTCATTGGGGAGTTTCCAGAACTCGCGCATCTATATGTAGCCCTGCAGACTGCGTGACTGGCTGTGGTGGTGGCGTGGCGGCTGGTAGCCCGGCTCCTGCATCTCCATTTGCATGACCAGATTCTTTTGTTCGCCGCGTGCCTCGAACGCCTGGCGTGCCTCGCGGTGCAGTATGAGGGCGGCCAGGCCCAGCAGCATGAAGGTCACAACGGCCATGGCATAGGACCAGCCCAGCACATTGAATCTGGGATACATCAGCCAGTCGCGGCGATAGGCGCAGCCCCCGAAGATGCACACGGCCAGGAACATGAACAGGGCTGTGGATAGACCATTAATTGATTGATTTGTTTTTGGTTTCACAATAAATATATGGGGTATACGTACACGAGATGGCGGTGCCCATGTAGGAGAGGCGAACAAGCAGCCACTCGTACTGGAGGACGGGCTTAAGAGGCAGTCGGATGATCGTCAGCGCGAGCAGGGTCAGCACCACGAACACAATAATAAAGGACATGGTGACGAAGCCCTGCACGGCCATCAGCCAGCCAGGAAGCAGATACTCACGAATCACATAGTACTCCTGTGGAGAACGGAGAAAAAAAATCAGCCTTAGTCCTAATCTAAAACGACTCTGATCACAACTCACATGCGAGAATATATTGTGGCATCCCGTAAACTGCTTGGGGAACGCGTACTTCGGGTAGACAAAATCCTTGAAGCAGTACTGCCAGAGGCCCATGTTCTTGAAGCTGCTGCGGGTCTCCTCATACGACTCGATCCAGTACGGCGAGCAGAAGGACATCATCAGCACGAAGGAGCTGCCAAAGGTGAGAATGGCCCCGAAGACAACGCCATCTAAAGAGAAGTTGGATCGGTTGTGCATAATTATGAATGCGGGCGTGCAATCGCCATTGCGTCTGCGTCACTCACTTGTGGCACGCGGATAATCGCCCTTCTCGACGCCCCCATCTGTAGTGTCCTGTGACTGCTGTTTGTTTAGATCACGCATATTTCTGGATTAGACTTTCGATGTTGCAATGGGAACACAATTGAAGAAAATATCTGCACTTTTATCATACAAAACGGAGCGTAAACAAATGAAACACACCCAACCCAAAGCAAAAACATATAGGTGGGGCTTTCAGTGTTTTGCAACACTAAAAGTACGCCCTTCCACACTGCTCGCTGTAATATTGGTATTTTCTAGTATTTGTTCCTTAAAAAGTGCGGTCAAACGCGAAATTTCGCTTTAAAGCTATTTTATTTAAATTTAATTTAAATATTTAATACAATGGGTATAATGTGTAATAACAACAAGAGCTAACAATTAAATGGCAACGTCCATCTCGTGGTGCTCCAAATGCTTCATATAGGCAAGAAAACACGTCCAGCACAGGCTGCAGGCGCTAATGAACGGCACTCGATTGCGCTCTGGTATGAGGCTAAAATTAATGGTCGCCACCAGCGGCCACACAGACAGAGCCACCTGCGGATTGGGATTAATTCGTGAGTGTGGAGAAAGAAGAGCAGAGTTCAATATATACTTATATATACCTTGTAGGTGGGCAGAAACTTCTTGCCAACCTCGGAGACAGCCTCCTCGACCGTCTTGGACTCGAGCAGACTCATGATGAAGTAGAAGCAGGTCATGGCACCCGGTGTGTACGATATGGACTCCACCGCCGCCTTAATTATGCCCGTGCGCAGTGAGGTCTGTGGCCACATGGCGCTGGACACCTTCAGAAAAATGCGGAAGAACCAAAATTAAAAGATATAATCCCCGCGGCTGTGGGACAAAGGCCTTCCTTACCTTAACCCATCCATAAAGTGTGGGTGCCACGAAGAGGCCGCCATACATGCTGAAGCGCATCACACGCCACCAGTCATAGCTGCCTGATGGACAGTTGGAGAATAACAGAATGCAAAACCACAGAGGAGGATGCACCACACTCACCCCAGCTCTTGCCCTCGAATGTCTGTTGGATGAGGCTTCCCGAGGGCCAAATCAGGCTGTACGATATCATGCCCCTCGCTATCGGATACCTGGTGAGGAACACCTTGAAGTTCTGCCACAGCAGTGGAGCTGCCATTGCAATCACAGCGCTGCGAAGTCACAAATAATCGCATTCAGTTTTTCGCATATAATTTGCATGCGTAAGCAGCCCCTGTCCTATTGTATGGGGGAATGCGGGCCCACACCGAACAATTTGCCATAAATGGGCCCCACACCACTGGCGGGCCACCCAAAAAGACAACGACACCCCAACATGGCTCTGTGCGGACCAATTGGCCTGCTCCTGATGGCTTCAGCTTCTATGCTCGGAGCCCTTGCGGACGATGGCAAGATTGTCAATGGAACTGCCGCCTCGCCGGGCGAGTTCCCCTTTGTGGTGTCGCTGCGTCGCGCCAAAAGCGGTCACCATTCGTGCGGGGCCACGCTACTCAACTCGGACTGGGTGCTGACGGCTGCCCACTGCGTGAAGGGATCGACGCCACAGCAGCTGAACCTGCAGTACGGCAGCCAGAATCTGGCAAGAAATTCCAGCAAACTGGTGCAGGTGGCCGCGATCCATGTGCATCCCGGCTATGAGCCACACGACAAGTATGTGAACGACATAGCCCTGCTGCAGCTGAAGGATTCCATTGTCCTGGGCACACGCGTCCAGCCGGTTCGTCTACCGGATCCGGAGCAGCCGACACTTGGCAACAGCAGCGCCGTGCTCGCTGGCTGGGGATTAAATGCGGTACGAATTGCGGAATCGCATTCAGAATTTCGTTCATTAAATCGTTCTCTCCTTGCAGACGGGCGGCGTGGTGCAGCAGCGGCTGCAAAAGGTCCAGCTGCAGGTGTTTAGCGACGCTGATTGCAGCGAACACCACCAGACACAGCTGCACTCCAGCCAGATCTGCGCCGGAGTGCCCGAGGGCGGCAGGGGCCAGTGCAGCGGTGACTCCGGGGGTCCGTTGCTGCTTGCCGGATCGGACACACAGATCGGTATTGTGTCCTGGAGCGTGAAGCCCTGTGCCCGTCCGCCCTATCCGGGCGTTTTCACCGAAGTGTCTGCATATGTCAACTGGATTGTGGAGACGGTGGGTGCCGACTCCTCCACATCGTCGTCGCTCTGGATTGGCCAGCTGATTGTGGGCCGCACGCCGCCTGTTTTGTCGTCCTAAACTCGTATCAGACCACTTGAGAATAAAAATCGATTGGATGTACGCTAATTCTATCTAATTTTTTGCCTAAGGAAACACGAAAACAGCAAACAACAACGGAGGGAGGAGACTATGTAGAGGAGAGATGATCCGTGGTGCTGTGCTCGCTCTCCGTCTGCTCCTCGGAGTGACGCGTTTTCATGTAGGAGAGAAAGATGGTCCACATCAGGCTGCAGATGCTCACAAAGACGACGCGATTGTGTTCCGGCACAAGGGAAAAGTTGATGGTCTGGAGGAAGGGCCAGATGCACACGCCGACCTGCGGGGAATGTTAGTAATGAGAGGTGAGAGGAGGAAGCGCACGCAGGCATAGTTACGCGGATACGCTACCTTGTAGGTGGGAAGCGCCTTCTCCTTGGTCTCTTCGACGGCCTCGCCCAGGCTCTTGAGCTCCAGCAGGCTCATGCCCATAAAGAAGCTGACGCAAGCGAAGGGTCCGTAGGAGAGCTGCTCTGTGACGGCCTGCAAATGGGGTTTTGGGCCCAAGTAAGTCAAGTGCTAGTCCCGCTGTGAGCTCCCGTTGCGTGCACTTACCTTGACAATGCCCGTGCGCAGGTTCGTCTGCGGCCACATGGCACTGGTGAGTCGCACCCAGCCGTAGAGTGTGGGGGCCACGTAAAGGGCACCGAACAGACTGAAGCGTAGGGCCCGGGCCCAGTCGTAGTCTTCTGCGGATGGAAAGGGAATGAGGGGCGCTGATGATGATGAGGATGAATGGAGCCACTTACTAAGATTGCGTCCCTCCAGCGCCTGCTGGATCAAACTGCCCGTGGGCCACATGATCGCGTATGTGAGAGCCCCCTTGGCCATGGGGTGCATCTTCACCTTGATAACGCCTCGCGTCCACTGGCCCAGCGACGTCTGCAGCAGCTTCACAGCTTGAGGCACCATTTTGGCATGGATTGTCGGGGAATTCTAGGTGCACACGCGAGAGAGTTGAGCAGCCTGGTACCCACTTCCTGATACCCAAACAGCAACAAAAAACAACAACAACGACGACGACGCCTATAGAGGAAGCCATCACCCCCAAGGTCAGAGTCTGGGCTTTTTGCTGCCGTTAGCCATGGTCAAGACACCCAAAAATTCACACCGGAACTCAGGAATATGTACTTGCTTTTCGTTTTTATGCGGAGTAGTGTAGTCCTGCTGGGGTTATTCGGTTGGTCGCGACCAACGATTCACAGAAACTAAAAGTGCAATCGCCAAACCAAATGAATGTAATTTCTAATTTCGAACATTTTGCCAGAGATGAGAGAACACATCTCTCACGCCATGCGACGACAATTGCCGTTGCAATTTGCAATTGAGACCCATTCCCGTGAGAGAGAGAGCATTCCGATACCGTTACAGTGATCTTGACCATAAACTTTGCCTTGCCAACCAGCCCAGTGGAAACTTTGCAGCTGCTGTGCGTCCGCTCAGAGAGTGCATTAATCAATGTGGGTGTTTAATTGGCAAGTGGGATTCAACACTTGACGTGTACGCAAAGAGCGTATGGTACGAATGGGAGAAAGAGAGACCAAAAGCTAACGGAAGTATTATTGCTCACAAGGATTTTTATGTAATTCGCAAGGGGGGTGGTGGGACGGGGGCCCCATACACATGAATGGAAAATTAACGGCACGTTTGGCTTTCTGCCAGTCACCAAGCAAACGAAAACGCGAACCCAGACGACTGATATGATTACGTCGCTTGTAAAACCCAAAAGATCGTGACAGGTAATCCGTCGTCGTCGCTGTTGTTCTTGCAATTTTTTTTTGTTTTATGTTGCTGTTTTGCGATTTGTTAATATCTTCACATTTATTTGCTTACCGTTTATTGTCGAGAAGGTGGGGGGTAAGGGGCTCTAGTCTAACTTATTGGAATTCTAGTTTGTACTATTGTTACGCACGTCGTGGAGCTGGAGGCATCCGCATTGCGTGCCCTCGTTCCGTTCCGTACCCGTTTATCTGAATAATGAAAACAAATGCAAATGCTATTTATATATATGTATGTTTTGCTTGTGTCAGCTGTTCGTTCGCTGATTAGGGAAAGCTCCGACAAGTGTTTGAGCTTTGGCGTGGCCTGTGTGTTTTTTCGAATTAGCTAATCCTTATAGCAAATCATTCATTAACTTTGGAATTTTAAGACTTCGCTTTCAACATATAACCATTGGATTTACAAAAAGTAAGTAATTGCTGTAAATTTAAATTTATAATGTTGGCGCCCCTAGGTATTTTAGAGACGCACTAGCACGTTTTTGCAACGCGTTTTAGGGATTTTTTGCAGCTTTATGCTGCGGTCAGCCTGATGTTATTATAATTTTCAAAAAATGCATAAAATGCATGGGTGGTGGTGGTCTGGGCTGTGGCCACTGCTGATTCTCCTTTTACTGCCATCTTCGATTGCTATCGCAGATCGGCCAGCGACCCGAAACCGAACAGAGTCCCACCGAACGGCGGTGAGGAGCAACAGCAACGTCTGCAGGAGCCGGCAATTCTGGCAAACGTTTCCATTGGCGGACAATTGTCCTCCGGCAATATTGCCGCTGCGGGGCACCGTCTACATCCTCTACGATGTGAACATCTCCGAGGGCTTCAATCTGCGCCGCGACGTGTACATCCGCTTGGCCGTGTTCGTGCGGCGACTCCGCAGACGCAAGCGCTTCCGGAATGTTCGTTTGGTGCTGCCGCCATTTCCACGCCTCTACCACTGGCACTCTCACCACCTGCAGCAGAGCGACTTGGCCTGGGGCCACTTCTTCGACCTGGACAGCCTGCGCCGCTACGCCCCCGTCCTCGACTACAGTGAGTTCCTCGCCGAGTACCGGCAGTTCGGTATGCCGGCCCCGCCCTACGTTCACATCTCGCAAGTGTTCCGCCTCATGCACTACGAGATCATGCTGGAGCAGGGCATCTTCCGCGACAAGTACGAGCGCGTCGCTCCCAAGCTCGACGATAACTCCTGCAACGAATACTCCACAGCGGGGGGCCCGCTGCTGTCGCAGAGTCTGCTGCGCTACGGACAGTACCACTGCGTTCACTTTCAGGGCAGTGCCGGGCTGCTGGAGCGGCTGTTGCGAGAGGCCATCGCGGAGGATACGGCCGGGGCCGAGGACGTCGACGATATGCGTGTGTACGCGATCCTCAGTGCCGAGACCGTGCTGCACGACCACTGGGGTGACGAGCACTTCTGGAAAGCCCGCCGCTCGATGCGCTTCTCCAAATACCTCAGCCAAGTGGCAGACGATTTCCTGCGTTACGCCTTCGACACCACGGACAGCTCGGCGGGCGTCCAGCGGCCGGCCATGTGGGAGATGGAGCGACCTAAGCGCGATGCACGCGGCGGTGACTTTATATGCGCACACCTGCGTCGTGGCGACTTTGTACGGTCGAGAGAGGCGACCACGCCAAACCTGAAGTCGGCTGCCCAGCAGATCAAGCAGCTGCTGAGGGCCTTTAATGCGACCACAGTGTTTGTGTCGACCGATGCCACACCCTACGATCTGGTGCAACTGAGGAGCATGTTCCACGGATTCCGGTTCGTGCACTTTCAGCCGGAGTCGAATTCGCAGCGACAGAAGCTGAAGGATGGCGGCGTTGCCATTGTAGATCAGTTGGTCTGCTCATACGCCCGCTTCTTCATTGGCACCTACGAGAGCACCTTCACATACCGCATCTACGAGGAGCGCGAGATCCTGGGCTTCAGCAAGACCAGAACCTTTAACACCATCTGCAAGGTTGTGGGCGGAAACTGTCCTCGTAATGCGGTCTGGCCCATCGTCTGGGACGACGATAGCGACAACGACACACCGTACTGAACTTTTTTCGTGTTCTTAGCTGCCATTTTATCTGTGAAATCTGATATGTGTTTATATGTATATTAAGTTATATGAGGGCCACTCGAATATCTAGTTGTCTAGACAAAGCTTTTGTGAGACCACCACTACCATGTTAATTCCGAACAAGCTGCGATTATGTACCAAAAATAATAAATCAGTAGTCATTAAACAATAATCATCTCGGCATTTGAATTTTCCCCCGAACACATAATAAAGCTGTCATGTATCGGTACCAAACGATACATCGAGATGTGTGTACATATCGATAATGGTGTTGACAGCACAGCTGTGTATTTCGCCTCGAAATTCATAGTGGTGCACGCACGTGTTTGTATTTTCTACAAAATTGTTTTATTGTGAAAATTTTAACTTATATTCGTGCGCAAGATGGGCAAGAAGAACAAGGGCAGCACGCCCAACCTGGGACGGACGCTGATCAAAGATCGTTTTGGCCACACACAGCGTCGCAAGGTGGACAACGACACAATGGTATGTAGAAATATAAAAAACATTTGTAATGCGCCTGAAAACTGATCGTGTAAAGATTTATAGCTGCACACCACAGAGCTGCAGGACGGCTACGACTGGGGACGTCTCAATCTGTCGTCGGTGACGGAGGAGTCCTCGTTTCAAGCATTCCTGCGCACAGCCGAGCTGGCTGGAACAGAGTTCCAGGCGGAAAAGCTGAACATCACTTTTGTGAATCCCAAGCAACGTGTGGGGCTGCTCAGCAAGACCCAGGAGCAGCGAATGCATCAGAAGCATCACGAGCATCGTGAACATCTGAAGGTTCCACGTCGCCCTAAATGGGACAAGAATACCAGTGCCGAGGATCTGGAGCGGGCCGAGAACGAGGCGTTCCTCAACTGGCGGCGTGACCTCGCACTGCTGCAGGAGGATGAGGAGATCCTAATGACGCCTTACGAGAAGAATCTCGAGTTCTGGCGCCAGCTCTGGCGCGTAGTGGAGCGCTCCGACGTCGTCGTGCAAATCGTCGACGCACGCAATCCCCTGCTCTTCCGCAGCACCGACCTGGAGAGCTACGTGAAGGAGGTGAAGTCCACCAAGATGAATATGATTCTGGTGAACAAGTCGGATCTGCTGACGGAACAGCAGCGCAAACATTGGGCTGAATACTTTGACTGCGAGGGCATCCGCACTGCCTTCTACTCTGCCACGCTTGTGGAGGAGGAGCTCAAGCGAGAGGCGGAGGCCGCCCGCCAGGAGTCCTTTCCCGAGCTCAAAGAGCTGCGCGAGGCTGCCGATGAGATCCAGCAGTCGCTGAACAAGGTCGAGGGCGCACTCGATGCCATCGAACGAAAGCTGCAGCCGGAGGAAGTGGAGGAGGAGCTGCTTGGCGACAAAAACAGTCCTCGTGTGCTCTCCCGCACGGAGATGATTGAGTTTCTGCGGCGCATCTACACAGGGCCCCGCCACACGGATCAGCATGTCACCATCGGCATGGTCGGCTATCCCAATGTGGGCAAGAGCAGCACCATCAATTCCCTGATGACAGTCAAAAAGGTGTCGGTGTCGGCCACACCCGGCAAGACCAAACGCTTCCAGACTCTGTATCTGGACAACGATATCATGCTGTGCGACTGCCCGGGCCTGGTCATGCCCAGCTTTGTGCTGACCAAGGCGGACATGCTGTTGAACGGCATACTGCCCATCGATCAGATGCGCGACCATGTGCCCGCCGTCAATCTGCTGTGCGAGCGCATACCGCGCCACGTTCTCGAGGACAAGTATGGCATTGTGATAGCCAAGCCCGTCGAGGGCGAGGACATGGAACGTGTTCCGCACTCCGAGGAGCTGCTCCTCGCCTACGGATGTAAGTTCTCTCTCTCTCTCTCTCTCTCTTGCTAGCCATTAATAATCATTCCTTCTCGCTCGTTTTCACACAGACAATCGGGGCTTCATGACCTCCAACGGGCAGCCGGATCAGGCACGTTCCGCCCGTTATGTGCTCAAGGATTATGTCAATGGAAAGCTGCTGTATGCCATGGGTCCGCCGTCAGTCATACAGGCCGAGTACCACATCTTTCCCGAGCGCCAGCGCAAGGCCATCGAGGAGTCACAGCTGCCCAGCCAACAGCAGCGCGCCATGCGCGTAAGTTTATTAATTAAGCACTAGCACACTAGCGACGATCCCTAGAAACCAATTCCAATGTCAATCCGCAGATCGACAAGAGCACGTCCAAGGAGCTGGACCAGCAGTTCTTCGATGACAAGCCCACCCATGCCCATGTCAAGGGACGCACCAATTTCCCAAATGTGCGCCTGGCCAACGACGGCACTTTGGAGGCGAACGCAGGCCCCACAGCCAAGCCCTGGCGCCATGTCAAGAAGGAGCGCCGCGAGAAGCTGCGCAAGAAGTTCTCCCATTTGGATGAGCACTAGGTGCCAAGCAACACTATTTATAATGTACATTATTAGGATTAAAATTACCATTTACCTACGCATGAAAGTAAATGCCCCCCAGGGGATGGCAAGCTATCAATGCTCACATACTGTAGTGACTCGGGCTCCCGCCCAATCTATTTGGGTTAAATTTGATTAAGAATGTAAATCAGCAATCAGGGAGGAGGCCTGCCTGCCTGCCTGCCTGCCTGCCTGCCACAGAGCTCAAATAGAGAGCAGTGCACTCTGAGAAATGCTTTCAGCATGCAGCCAGCCATTAAAGTGTGAGTGTGGAAGTACGCATCTGCGTGAGAGCAGCAGCAGCAGCAGGCAGCATCAGCGAATGGAGAACAACAATTGAAGACGACGGCAGCGCTTGAACGGAGGATGTCGACTGATAGACACTGAACTTTGAACGCCCCCTGCTATCATTTCTATCTGCTGAGGCAGTGTCTATTGTGTGAATTCTCGCTCGGTCAGTCTGCCATACGGTGTCGTGTCGCAATGAGCACAGCTGGCGAGGACTATCTATTCTGCAGGCAGTTCAGAGAGCTGTCGATCAGGCGGCGATCGGGAGGACTGCTCGTCATACAGTTCCAGCGATGGCAGCGGCGCACCGTCTACGAGCTGATGCGAGCACTGGACGCAGCCAATGCGGATGGGGACATCAGCATAGTTGTGCTCTCGGGCGAGTTTGCCGTGGGACGTGAGGATGATTGCCAGCAGCAGCAGCAGCAGCCGCTGGCCCTGGAGCAGGGGCCAGGTAGAGAGAAACGCGATGAGGCCGAGGATCGGTTCATACAGGAGCGGGCCGCCGATTTTGTCATGCGATCGCTGGCCAAGAAGCTGCTTGGCTGCCGCAAGCTGCTGGTTGCCTTTGTGCAGGGCCCCTGCCAGGGTCTGGGCGTCAGCATCTGCTGCCTCTGCGACCTCGTCTACGCCACGGAGACTGGCCACTTTCTACTCTCGCTCTCACACCTACATCCCTGCGTCGAGGCGGCGCCAAGCTGGAGCCTGCCACAGATCGAGCTGTTGCTCCGACTGGGCGAACGGGCCGATGCTCGCCGCGCCTGGGGAAGCGGCTTTGTGGCCAGCCTGACGGCAGACGGGCAGGAGTTCTGGACACGAATGGACCAGTATTCGCGGTTGCCCACTGCCTCACTGCTGGCCACCAAGCGGCTTCTACTACGCCCGTGGCGCGAGCCATTGCTGGCCCAGCTGCGGCAGGAGGGCACACCAATGGCAGCTCAACGTCGCCGCCTAGCTGCTTCCTCCAAGCTGTGATCTGAACCGAAGCACACGCCCCAGATGAACGCCATCAGCCATGCATGCCCGCCGTTATAGCAATTGGCTTGCCAATGAGCTCTTGCAATTTAAAAAATGGAAAAAAAGATGTAAATGCGCGGAAAGAATACTAATACACTACTCTAGGCAGAATTAATCTATACATATCCACCAAACATTTTAAGTTTTAATTAGAATGTTCTTCGCTGATAATAATTAAAACCTTTTTTATATTCTAACTTTTTTTGTATTCTTATAATAAGAATAAGAATTCCCAATACTTTTGGGATGTAAAAGTTTTTTGTGGATTTGGATGTGTTCAACACCCAGGAGGAAATGTTTCCGATCCCATCAAGTATGTACATATATATATATTCTTGATTCGCATAAATTTTCAACGTCTCACAGTGAAAGCTGCGTACATTCCGATAGATTTCGATAACAAACGCGCGGTAGTACTGCTCCTGTTTTATTTTGAAAATTGGTCACTTTAATTTCAATTTGAATTTGCAAATGTGCAACTTTTGGCATTTTTGTTGTTGTTTTTTTTCAATCTCAAACAAAGCAGTCCCGGAAATCAATTCCTGGTATGCCAGATGTCCTTTGCCACTTTTGCTCAGTTTTTAATTTAGCTTCTTTCAGTCAGGAGCAAAATTGTTTCTGCTCTTTGGAATTTGCAACGTTTTGGAGCCCTTTTTTGTGGCTGTAAAAGATGGCCCACAATCCTTGCTTTGATGATGAAGCAAATGCGACACAGATCGGCAGCATTAAAGCTCCAAGCTTTTTGAATGCTTCGTTGAAGGTCCCTGAAGACGAGCAGCTGCAGTTCGAAGAGAAACAGCAGCAGGTCCAAGATAAGCAGCAGCTGAATGAGCAGCATAAGCCAGTAGAGGAGCAGCAGCTGAAGGAGCAGTTCGAAGAGGAACAGCAGCAGGTCCAAGATAAGCAGCCCCTGAATGATCAGCAGAAGCCAGTAGATGAGCAGCAGCAGCTGGAGGAGCACCAGGAGCCAGTACGTCAAAGACAGCTCCCTGAACAGAAGCCCAAACCCAAGTTGGATAAGTCTGCCGTTTGGGTTGGCCCGCAGACACCTGCAGAGGAGCAGCAGCTGGAGGAGCATCAGGATCCAGTGGCAAAGGCATTGCGGAAAAGAAAACTTCTCGAACCCAAACCCAAACGCGAAAGGAAACCAAAACCCAAGAAGAAACCCAAATCGGATAAGTCTCCCGTTTGGGTTGGCCCGCAGTCGACGGGTGTCAATTGGGTCCAGGTCTCGGGCTTTCCATGTCCGGACCTCACGGATACTTTGCGTAGCTTCAATGCCGTTGGCACCATACTGAGCGCGCAGCAGAACCGTGGGGGCATCCGTCTGCACTACACCGATCGTGTGGGATTTCTGGGCGCCCTGCAACTGGATGGCACACGCATCGGTCGCTTTCCTGTGACTGTGCAGCCGGTACTGAGTAATGTTGCCCCACTGCCGAATGGGGATGCCATGGAGAAACCCTTTGTCGACTGCCATCCGTACGAAGAGGCGGAGGACGCCGTGCTGCGGGAGAGGTCTGACTGCAACCAGTTAGAGGGCAGATTCATGTTGAATCTGTTTGTGTTCTTTTGGTGGTGCGTGGACTGCATCACTGGTCGCTGGCAGCGCTTGTGGCATCGCATTGTGGAGTGGCTGAGCAAGAAAAACGCGAGGAACGCCTCAGCCCAAGCCTTCCCTTCAATTTAAGTTGAATTGGAAAATAAGCTTACAAATTTGCTTTCCTATTTGTACAATTTATTAAATACAATAACTCGCATAATCGAACTTACTTCTGGAGAAGATGGAGAGACCGAGCGCCGTGCTTGCATCTCATCTCTCGATTGGGTTTCTGGGTCGCGTCGAAGCTCTGCTTGGAGCAGTCTGCTTTAGTTAACAACTAAAAATGCGGCTATCTAATTTGTGCACGCAACGCTATGCCGCTGGGTATCTCCACGTTGTTCAGCTGCAGCAGCTTGACCAGGTTCCGGATGAACTCTTGCGACATCTTCAGCTCGTCATCGGCCTCGAGTCGCTCGAACAGATCGAGGGCCGCCTCGTAGTTGTTGCTCTTGCTGAACTGGGCGAGCAGCATGTCGTAGATGCGCTGCTCATCGATGCTGCGCTGCACGCCACGCACACCCCGGGCCAGACGCAGCAGGGTGCGCACGGCGCCCTCTTGTCCCAGGTGCTCACAGTTTTTGACCAGCAGATCGTGATTGATGCGGAACTCTGGATTGATGATCAGCCGCCGCAGCTGCGTCTCTGTGCCGGATTCGGCCAGCGCCAGCAGCAGGGCGCTGTTCATGTTCGCCGCCCCATGCACACGGCTCACCGTCGCCGTCACCGCGGCCAAGTGCTGCTGGGCTGTGGCCGCCGTGATGCCCGGAAAGCGTGCCAACGCCTCCTCGTCCCCATTGCCCAGTCGCACCAGCAGGGACAGCAGCTCGAACTGCAGCGGCGTGTGCTTATGCTGGCTGGACAGACGCTGAAATTCGGCCACCGCCGCGTCCATGTCCCCGCGCAGCAGCCACTCTCGCACAACGGGCCCGAGAAGCGCATTGTGCGCCTGGCAGTAGCCCAGCTGCCGCAGGAAGTCCAGTGTCTCTTGAGTTAGATTGCGGCCAGTAGGGGCAGCCTCCTGCTGATTCGTATCTGCGGCCATTTGGGCCACATTGGTGAGCAGCTGCCATACGTTCTTGATCACGTAGGTGCCACCAATGATCTTGTGCTGGTCGGCGCGTCGCTGCAGCAGCTGCTTGGCTGCCTCCAGCTGGCCGCCATGCACCAGAAGGCCGGCAAAGTCGATCAGTTTGTGCTCATCGATCATGAAAGCTGCGAATATTTATGGTTAAAGTGGATGATGAATGGACGCAGTGAGTGAGGAAGGGTTCGGGGTACTCACCTGGGTAAGTGCTCTGCAGATTCTCCAGGCTTTGCTGGGCCCGGGCCAGATCCCGCTGCTTGATGTACATATCGAAGATGGAGGCCAGCATGCCGGCGCTGGTCTGGACATTGAGTGCTTGACACTTGGTTAGAAGCTGCTGGGCCCGTTCCAGGCGGCCGTTTCGCACGGACAACTGCAGCAGGCGCCGCAGGACACCGCGCGGATTGAGCTTCTTGGACTCGAGCTCGATCAGATGGCACTCCAGCTCGTCCTGGCTCATGTCGCGCGGATGCTTGATGAAGCCGCCGTGGGCGGCCGACTCGGCTGGCAGGGTGAGCTTGGCGTTGCGCATCTTCTGCAGCGTCTTGCCCAGCGCCTGCAGCACCTGGCTGTCCTCGGTGCCTTGTCGGGCGATCGAAAGCAGAGCCTCGGCGGCGGCTGGCGACAGTTGCAGCTCCAGGCGTCGCAGCTCGTGCACAAATTTGAGCAGGGAGGCGGCATCCTGCCGCAGACGCATCTGAGGGCCGCACATTTGAAGGAGCAGGGCGCCGACAAAGTCCTCCTCCTTCTGGAGCGACCGCAGCAGTAGGGCCTGTATGAGCTGGGCGAACAGTTCGAAGCGCTTCGTGGCCCGGGCATGGACCGACAGGGCGGACAGCGGTTGGAGCAGCGAGGACAGCTGGAGGCGCGTGGGATAGCGCTGGAGGAGATCCAGGATCTCGGGAAGTTGCTGGTGCTGCTGCAGCAGCTGCGTGATCACGTGTACGACGACCTGAGAGGGCTTTATACCCACCGACTCGAGCTGCTGGAGGGCCTGCAGCGGCTGCTGCAGCGTCTGCACGAGATTGGGCAGGAGGTACTGTCGCAGGGTGTCCTCGTCGCACTCCACACGCAGTCGCTGCATGTCCGCGACCAGCCGCAGCATGCCGCTCTCGCCATCCCTGTGGTGCTGGTGCAGGATCAGGGGCCAGAAATAGTGCGGACGCAGCTCCTGCCCGGCGTCGCTGAGGGCCTCGAAGCAGCGTAGGGCTGCCGCAGGCAGGCGCCGCAAGGCCAGCTCGGTGACCAGGTGCAGGGCTCGCTGGTTCTGTCCCCGCTGGCTGAGCTCGCGGGCGAACTGTAACGTCTCCTCCACGGGCACGCGAGCACGGAAGAACTCCTGCAGGATTAGTGCCGCGTACTCGTCCACGTTCTGGTTGCCATTGAAAATGGGTGCGGGCAGTGCGGCCACCAGTCGGATTAACAGCTGGGCCTGGCCCTGGTGCACCAGTTCGATGCAGAGGCTCCGCAGGGCTGGGGGTAGGTCGAATCCAGTTAGATACTCCTTGGGCAGCTCCTTGACCAGCTGCTGAACGAGATCGGTGTCCACCGGCCGGCTGCTAAGGGCGCCGCGCAACATTTGCAGCAGTTGGGGTGCAGTAAATCCACCGTGCACCTGCAGCAGATCCCGCGCCTTGGCCACCTCCTCGTTCTCCGCAAAGGCCGCGAAGCGAATCGCCTGGGTGCTGGCACTCGGCGAGATTCCAGCAGCCCGCATGCTGGACAGCACGGACTCCACGCCGGGCAAATCCTTGTTGCGTCCATGGCCCAGGAGCAGGGCGTGGAAGTTGGCCTCCGTCAGCGGGAAGTTCTTCTCCCGCATCTCCGCTAGCAGCTCTGTGGCCTGGCGCATATTACCCGCCGAGCAGGCCACATCCAGCAGGCTGCTGTAGAGCGTGGCATCCGCGGGTCCGTGATAGACGCCGATCTCGGCCAGCAGCGGCCGGTGGTCCGGCAGCGGCAGCCTGTTCTGCCGCAGCACCTCCAGTTGTGTGTGATAGTGGGCCAGCGTTGGCTGCCCCTGCTTGAGCAGCTGCACCCACAGGCTCTGAAACAGCTGCAGGCGCTCCTGGGCGCTTTGGGCGGGCAGCAGCTCGGGCACGCACGATCCAAGCAGGAAGTGGATCTGCGCAGCACTGAGTCCCAGCGGTGCCGGTGCGCGAGTGGTCTCCAGATTATCCAACAAGCGTCGGCACTGCTCGTAATTGAGCAGACTGTGCTGCTGGTAGTAGGTCTCCAGCTGCGTCCACAGATCCTCGATGCTGTTGGGTGCTGCCGTCGAACCGGACGGGCGCCTGTTGCGACCGCTGCTACTGCTGCTGCCCAGACATCGATGCTGCAGCTGGTGGACAGTAGTCGCGGCCCCAGTCAGAGACGGGTTCGGGTTCGTTGCATAACGCAATCCGTGGATTGTGGTGGGCAGAGCACCGGCTGGCAGCTGCCCGAGTCGCGTTAAACGCACCCACACACTTTGCAACAGACGCGCTCGCTGCATTGCCTCAGCTTCATTCAGTTTCTCTCAAAAATGATGAAACGACGGACACAAAGGCTCAGAGGAACATACAAAAAAACACAAACACGCGCCGCGTCGCGCCGGTAAACCAGCTGTTCGTTGCGGTCAGCGGTGGCCGCAGCTATCGATAAGACTATCGATTCATCTGTCACCTCTGAGGCTCATTTTTCAAATATATTAACAGTTATTTTTTTTGTATGTAAATACTCTTCAAATTCGTTGGCTTTGAAGCTCCTCATCCGTGCACAGCTGCAGCGTTCAAGTTCTTCATTTAATTGCAAGATAGCCAAGGAATTGGTCCAACTGAGTTACAAAATGTCAAAGAGCTTAACGACGAACTCGTTAATGGTTTTTGGCACCGAATAAATACAATTGTCCGGAAAAAACGAAACACAGAGCTTAAAATGAAGAGCCTGGACCTGAGGAGATGAAAATGTTTGAATAGTTTTGTCAGCCGCTGGTGTAGGAAATGTGAGGTTATTTTTATAAGGTTTAAAGTTTTGGAATTAACACTTTTGATGACTCTAGCACTAGCTTGAAGTACCATTTTAGAATTTTTAACCAACATTGAGTCTTGAGTGTTTTTGGTGCTGCATACCCAAATTTGTTTCTTATAATAAGGACAGTCCTATTGAATTTTGAGAATTTCTTCGATATCCGCAGCCATTTAAAACTAATTTTCATTTTGAATGTCCTCTTCTAGTGTCGCACTTTTAAACAGCACAATTTTGAGTTATTTCAATTAAATTATTTTCCATAATCTCCTGTAATGAATATTTCTATTAACTTACCTTGTGCTATAGATGTAACGGATTTTATGAACGTATTTTATGTGTCCTATTCAAGTGTCGGGCAAGTGTCAATGGTATTTCAAAACCGCAAAAGCTTAAAATGGCAAGGGTCAGTGGAAATAGTATTTTGCATTTTTTTTAAAGAAATTTTTCTCAGATTGTGTTGAGAATGGGTAGCACTGGCACGCAATGTGTCTGTATGTGTACCATACACGTACTGTACCACGTGCGTAGCCTGAGACCTGAGAATAGTTGCAGGGCATAGAAGCAGCGAAGAAGGCAAGAAGAAACGGAAAGTGCCGCTTTTGAACAGTTTTGGTCGGCTGGTCGGTCCCCCATTCCTTCCGTTTTAATTTTCAGTGAAGTGCAAACCGGCAAGTGTCGATTGCGCTGCTGGCTGTACCACAATAATTCATAAATAAAGTTTTGTGTTACGTGCATTGGAAAATTCCACAACAACATCACACAGGCGTCAAGCGCAATAATAATTCTAGGGTGTAGAATTTCTTTGCTTAGAACATACGCCGCCATAGCCTTTGGCTTTCCATATTAAAGTCGAATTATCGCGAATAAGCTGCGTGCGCATTTTTACACGGATCTAAGAAACGCCGCTTCGAGAAGAGAGCTTCAGCTTCAGCTTCAGCGTCAGTTGAGTTTATTTGAAAATGTCTGAAGGTAGAAACTCGCAACAGGCAAAAGCAGCCGCCACTGCCCGAGCAGCCGCCGTCCAGGAAGAAGATTGTCAAACGCGTGCAGGATTTGTTTGTGGATGTAACCCACTACAAGCTCAGCTGGGCCAAGTTCATCAAGATCGCCAGAATGGGGCCGCTGTCGGAGCGGATCGAACACCTTTTGGGGCGATGGGCACATTGCCGATGTTCGAGGTAAGCTGCCAGCTTACACCAGAGTGCGCGGTAATTCTCCAGCTTCCTGTCACACACACACAGTGCTGCCAGTACCTATGCGAAATAAGTAGCAGTCTGGGTACCGAAGAGCTGGCCGCGCTGCAGCGATTGGCCTGCATCTTGTTCCTGCTCCCAGATAGTGACCTGCAGTCGGAGCTATGCCGCGTGGCGCTGGTGCGTAAAACCTTCAGCGTGGTCAAGTCTCTGGAGCCCATGCTGGTGCATCACTTTACCAAACAGCTGCTGGATTACTTTGGTGGGACATCGAGCAGCAGCCGTGGCCAGGTGCTGCGCATTGCGCGACTACTCAGCGTACAGAGTGGCATCGGCAGGGCCATTAGCGTGTGTCTGCTGTGGGACATCATCTTTAGCTATGCCGCCACACCCATTGACATTCACCAGTACCGCGAGGTGAGTAACGCAGCTTTGGCGGCGACCTTAAACCCCGTCCTCGTCCCGTTGCAGCTGGGCGAGCTGCGCATTTTGGACAGTGTGCCCATGATCGATTTGAGCAACACCAGCTTCCGGTGCATCATCCGTGCGGTGGGCACTCTGCTGCACTTGCAGCTGTGCTGCCCGGACCTGGCCGAGTTCCTCCATCACGGCTACCCGAACTTCTACTTTTGCATTCTGGCCCCGGATGTGAAAATGCTGCGCACTTGGCTGTTGAACGCTGCCGCCGGCATGGACTCTCACCGTCCGCGCACCGATGCCGCCAAGCTGCAAGAAATGCTGGACTACCTGAATGTGGCCGCCGCCCCATCCGGCCGTCAATGGTGTCGCCAGTGCCGCGATCAATCTGGCAACGTTATCGGCCCCCTCCGCACCGACGACGAGTGTGTGCTCTCCCAGTTGCGCCGGTGACTCAAATGGCAGTAGCCAGTAGCCAGTAGGCAGCAACCAGTAGGCCGTGTGGCACGGCACAGCAATCTGACGCCCCAAGCAGGCAGCGCATTTACGAGTGAAACATTTATACTTCTATATAGATATAGACATAGATATTATTCCCCATTCAGCTTGTTCACTTGATTTACTTAAATACAAAAGGTATTTAGGCGTAGGCGGTATTTGTATTGTGTTGTTTAATCCGCGAAAAAGCTAAACGAAAACTTTCAAATTCTGGCTAAACATTTTCCAAGTAATTTTGCCGCAGTGTTTGTGTGTTATCGTCATGAACGGCTCGGATGGTGAGACGATCACAGTGCAGGTGCAGGTGCAGGTGCAGAGCAGCGACCAGGATGACCAGGTGTCGGTGAATTCCGATCTGTTTGCGTTGATGCGCGAGGCTGTGCAGGAATGCGGTGCCCAGGGGGACATTGAGCCGTCCGACAATGATAAGCAGCCGGACGCTGAGCCGGTGATTGTTGTGGTGGAGGCCCAGACGGCGTCCACGTCTCTGGTGCCAGCCCGCACGGGGCCAAGATTCAAGTGTCAGTGACGTCGATGCCAAGTTGAAGGCAATGTTCGAGCGTCAGCAGATCGTTAAGATGCTGTTGGGTCTGTGCGACGGTGCAGATGGCGACGGTGAGACCATCCATATTGTCATGGAGCTGCTTGGGGCCCAGAGAGAGGGGCGCAGTGCCGTGGACCGTGTCACCGATCAGCTGCTCGCAGTGCTACCCGAGCAGACTCTCCTCGATGAGGGCATATTCGTGGGCAACGAGCGTCATCGCTGCTTCAGGAGTGTGCTCGGCAACTATGCCCGGATCCATGCCGCCCGGCGCTTCATCGAGCAGCTGCCCACACTGGGCCTGGGCAACTTTCTCGCTGGCAACAGCGACAACTCATTGCTCGCTCGCATTGTCGCCGACGAGGTGCTCAAGATACCCGACTTGATACGCCAGCTCTGGTGCTCAATGGAGAAGATGGAGTTCTTCAATGAGGATACGGCCTTTAAGGCCTACCTGAAGGCCCGCAACCATCCCAATGGCAAGATCCTGCGCGAGCTAATGCTCAGCCGCATATCACGCGTCTTCCTATGCGTGGTCAGCTCGACATTCTATCTGTACTTCACCGAGTTCGAGATCATACATATCCTCAAGAACTGCTACTTGAGTGTTAATTCAGAAATCGAGGTTGGTTGCATAACAAAATCTTGGCTTCTATTATATCTATGGATCTTGTAGATATTCCTTGCGGTTATACTTTGGCTGGAGCACAACTGGGCCGAGCGTCGCGAGTGCGTGGAGCGTGTCCTGGCGGAGGTGCGTTTCAGCCTGATGCCCACCTGGTATCTGACCACCCTGAATCGCACCAATCGCTGCATTCACTTTGCCCGTGTCAACCAATGCCCAGGCGTTCAGGCTCTTATCGCCAAAGGACTCGCGTGAGTGGCTCTTGCTTGCTGTATTTACCTGCTCATTTCCATTAATCCCTGCCCTTTTTGTTTCTTTTGTTTCCTTTGCAGTGATGCTGTGGCCTCGAAGAAGGTGAAACCCTTGCTTCAGTTCCCCATCGGCTGGGGGTATACACAAAAATGATGGGCCTGTGCCCCGTGAATGGATCGCCGATCCCGCCTGTCTCTATCATCACAAGTGCCACTGCCAGCGCTTCGTTTATCCGACATACGATGTCTTCAAGCAGTATCTGTCCCGGATCATTAACTGCGCCCCCTACTACTGGCGCACCTTTCGCCCCGCCCAGGAGGTATATCGCAATCAGCTGCGCTGCTGCTCCTTGCCAAACTTTCGCTAAGTTTAACCCACACCAACACGAACACTTTAGGGACAGTTTAGAATCAAAGTAGCACGTTTTCCCCTTACTCATAGCACCAAACAAAATATGTCGAAATGCCCCCTGCTGAATGGTAAACACAACACAAGAAAACCTATACACATATGTATGCCACGGTTGGTTGTCTCTATGCCCATTTGCAATGATGCAATTTCTATTTTTGTACACAATCGACACGTACAGAACCTCCCAATATCCGAGCACTATGCGGCAAGAATTTTAGCAGAGCGATTGGAAACATAGCCCCCATAACACATCATAACATTACATTATTCTCGGTACAAATAACATTTATACACCACATATCTGGATACATCACAAGGCCCCAACCAACCGAGGAAGTCCGAGAATAAATCATGTCATTGGGATATATTTAACGTGATTTTTAATGGGAAAGCAGCAGACAGACAGACAATTTGGATAGGTACTTGGTAAGGTGTAGCTTGGACTTTTATTCTTACATTTGACCCATAAAAAGTGCAACGTATTGGTAAATATTTTGTATTTCCAGAGTGGGAGTCTGCCCAGCAAAGAGCTCAATCTCCACTCGATCCGTTGGACATCGAGGACTCGCTCATGTGGAACTGTATCAGGATAATGAGGTATGTGGTTGTGGCGCCCACAATCTGCAAACAGAGAGTTCCAGTCATTAGCCCAGGCAGACCAGGCTGCGCCGCGCACTTACCGTATAGAGGAGTGTATTGTCGACGTTGAAAAACCCAGCGGCGCTGAAGTACAACTTCTGGTGGAGCAGTTGCAGCGAGAACTGGGTGATCTACGGATGATCGGGTGGGAGGGAGGTAGGGAGGGGAGAAGAGAGTTCAAAGATCACAAGATGGACAGTCGGAGGAACCTACCAGGGCATTGTGCAATTCGTTTGTCAGATCCACGCTGACCTGGTGTAGGCTCAGGGCCAAGCGAGTGGCCTGAAAGGGGGGAGAAAATTAAGAATGGAGGAGGAGGAGGAGGGGGAGGGTCAGCATGCTTTGCACTACTCACACATTGCGCAGCTCGGTCACAGATCAGGGAGAGAACCAGAACGTTGCCAAGGTGCGGCGCAGACCACACGGCGCTGGCCACGATCTGAAGGATGTCAAATGGCGATGCCGCCGACTGGCGAAAGTTGAGGAATATCCAGTAGCAGTTGGAGGTAATGGCCAGGAAGTCATTGCCCACCAGCAGCAGTATGGAGAGGCCGTGGCTGCGGTTAAGCAGTGCCACCAGCGACCAAACCCTCTGGTAAAGCTGCCGCACAGCCACCAGGCGGTCCATTGAGGCCGCCGGAGCCACCGTCTCCGCCTGCTGCGCCTGCGCCTGCGCATCCTGTAGCTGTAACGTTTGGAGGGCATCGAGCAGCAGTTCCAGGCGCTGGGCCACGATCTGCACGGCGGTAAAGATCTGAAAGTACCGCAGGCCGCACACGAACATCGGCAGAAGGTACTGGATCCAGTAGATCGGGAACTGGCGCGAACCCGGCGCCAGTAGCTTCGAAACCAATATCAGGGTCTGGCTGGCCACATAGCCCCACAGCATCCACATGGCCCGGTGGGTGGTGCGGCGGCGCACCTGTCTGCTGTCGACATTCATGTGAAGGTCCCTGGCCAGCTGCCGGTCGATCTCGACCAATTCTGCATAGAAATTGCACTGCGCCTGTCGCTGCCACAAAGCCTCCAGCAGCGCGGCCATGTGCGCCACCCGTATGCCCACCAGTTGGATGAAGTCCACCGTGTGCCCAATGCTGCTGATGGTCGTCTCGGCAGTCACCATATCCACTGAATCCTCACCGCCGCTGCTCTCCATAAACAGGCCATAGGCCGTGTAGCTGCCGGCCGCCACCAGCACCGTCCAGCCGTAGAGCTCCAGCCAGCGCGAGCGACGCAGGAGTCCGCTTTCCTTGTCCAGGCGCCACTGCCAGAGGTTGCACACCTGACAGACGCGATGCAACGGCCCCAGAGCTCTCAGTGTGTCCATGGCCAGGGCTCGACAATGCGACTACTCGACTGTGTATCTGTGGGGTGCGAGTGTCCGATGGATATCTGAATATATCTTTGGCTGTAGCTGTACCTGTAGCTGGATGGGTTAGATAATGAATCGATTAGCTGGTTATCAGGGCGTGGCAATTCAACGTTTGTTACGCTAATCAACACCACAATTATGTAAATTCAACAAACACCCCAGAGAGAGAGAGAGAGGTCGGTGGGACAGCAGCTGAAGGTGGATCCTCCTGAATCAGTTGCTGCAACTTGCTGTACCAACTGTTGCCGTACGCCGTTCGAATGTAAATGGTATGCCAGCCAGGATAGCGCCTCAAAGGAAATACTCTACTCGTATATGTAATACGCACGTAGATTAAGTACCAATCCATCATTATTAATTAAGGCATTTGCTGATGTCAAGCCATCTATCAAGCGCTCAGCTGACACTTGTCCAGGGTGGGGCTGGGGCTGGGGCTACCTGTAGATGAAATTCAAGCGAATCTGGTGGGGGAGTATGGCTCCCTTGGGTCAAGGGTCAAGTGAAACAATGTGTGTTGTTGTTTTTTTTTTCACATAAATACGTTTATTATAATTTTCAGATTGTTGGTTTTTCTTTTTTTTTTTTTTGGAAATAGTTCTGGAGTAAGCATTACTTTGACGTTCATAAAATGTAATACATATACAATACATATATTAATATATATATATATATATCGATTTGTTTGTTTTGTTTTTTGTTTTTTGTTTTTTTTTCTGGCTAACCTCTCTCGATCCATGTGAATCGAATCCACTTTTGTGCTTGCTCTTTCCTCTAATTGTTCTTCAGCTTTCTTTCACTGACATTCTTCCTTAAACTCGTCTTCCAGCTGCCATGCATCTTTACTCTGCTCTGCTCTGCTCTGTTCTTTTCTCTTCTCTCTTTTTGTTTTTAACAGCATCTGGCTATAGCTTTTTGGATATACGAGAAGTACTAATGCTGTTCTGCTCTTCCTGCTTTGCATGCCATTTTTCGCTTTTTACTACTCGTAGTATAATGATTATATAGAAGGGTCCTATGCATAGCTCTACACAAACACACTCTCATGTTTGTGTGTGTGTGTGTGTAGATCTATGCATGAGTGTGTGTGTTTGTGTGTGTTTTTGTGTATATTTAGTATGTATATTTGATTTAAATCGAAGCTGCTAAAAAGTAAAAGCAAATTCAACAAACAAACTCTCGTGTTACATTCATACGACGAGTACATATATCATATCATATCATATATGCGATACACATTGGGATTCTTACACTTACAGTACGAGTATATGTCTGCCTGTCTGTATGTATGTGTAGTAGTATAAGGTATAAGGTAATATGATGCAGATACATATCTCTGTGTTCTGTTCTGTTCTGTTTGTTCTCTCTTTGGATATAAGGCAATGGGAGGCGGGGGAGGGGGATACAATAATGGGTTGGTTGGTTGGTTGGTTGGTGCATAGTGCGCGCGTTTGCGTATATATCTGATCTTATCGGATTCTACCAAACAAATCGCAAAAAATTAGAGTGATGAGGAAAGGGAGTGTGGGTAGTGGGTAGGGGGTAGGGGGGGAGTAAGTTTAACACTCACAGACGAGTACATATGTATGTATGTATGTCTTTTAATTGTGTTCTTTTTTTGGGTTTTTGGTTTTTTGATTTTTGGTTTTTGGGGAAATTCGTTTAGTGAAAGGCAAAAAATGTCTTCTGGCTTGTGAGAAGATTTTCCATATAATTTTGTTCAAGCAAAAACATCAAATACGCTCAAGTATATATGTATATATATGTATGTATATATATTATATATATAGTGTTGTATATAGTTCATGTTCTATGCATATATGCATTTTAAATATCATGTGTGAGTATCTGTATTTGTTTTTTTTTTTCAAAGATTTTTATCAATTTTTTGCTCGTTTACTTTTTGGGGTTTTCTTTAATTTCCCTAGGTGTTTTTTTTTGTTTGTTTTTATTTCGCTTAGCGCACGAATTTTTGGAAAAAAATTATTAATAAATCGCGCCTGCTCTTGCTCATTTATTTTGTTTTTTTTCTTTGCTTTGCGGTTACACATTTTAAATTTAAAATCCTCGAAGCGGCCAAAGACGAAACTCAGTGAATATATCGGATAAAGGCTCGAAATCGTATATATCTGCTGTTTGGAGTATGCTCCTTCTCCTTCTTCTTCTCCTCTAAGCTTTTTGTGTCTCGCTGTCTGTCTGTTTGCTCTCTTCATCATCTGCTTAGCCCTACGATTGTGTGTATAATTTTCTCACTTAAATTTTGCTTTGTTTTTGTTTTTGCTTATCAAACGTTTGTAGACTGGACGGTTGCCAGTTGACTGTTGTTTGTTTTGTTGAGTGTTGCATCTCCTCTTGCAGTTATCGGATCTGTAGCTATTGTATCTGTAGCTGTTCGTTTTTCTTTTTTTTTTCTGTATAAGAAGCAACGCAAAAATATACGACGCATATAGCCTAAAAGTCTGTCTGTCGCCAGATATTATTATTATATCGTATCAATATCAAATATTCAATTTCAATTTAAATTGTATTTTTCTTTTTTTTTTTTGGTTCAAGCTAAATGTCTCCCTTGAGTAATTGAGTATTTAATTTTAAGTTACTTTAATTTAATTTGTCTTAATGTTGTTTTGTTTGTTTGTTTGTTTTTTGGACTGTGTTTACTTGCTGTGGCCTCGAATTGCTTACTTCAGTGGTTACATAAATTGATTAAAATTTTCCAGTAGTGGGCCTTTGTTTGTTTATTTTTTGTTTTGCTTGTTTGCTTGTTTGTTTGTATATTTTTGTTTGCATTGCAATATTAATTTGTTTTGTTTGCAAATTTGTTATTCTATGACTATGAAAAAGTAAAAAAAATATAGAAAAATAACCATCTTCATTCACTTTGTGTACTTCATATTTTATTCGTATTTAGTTATCTTTGCTCAGCTCATCCCATCATCATCTTTTCATTTCATCCTCTCTTGCTCGCTTTTCACAGTATCTGTCTCCCATCGTTCCCTCCCAAAACCTAAACACAACCCAACCCCCAATCACAAGCCCTGTTCCAGTTCAAGTTCTTAGTCTCACACTCTGATGCTCCCCATTCTCAATCTCAATCCCAGGCGATCGGATCGATCAACATACCCTCGTAAACCCTATATAGTAACATCAGCATTAACATTATCGTTATCGTCTTCCGTCCTTGTCATCGTAATCGTAATCGTCAACGTTTATCACCATCATCAGCAATCGAGTCATTTTCCCTTCACTTCCATTCCCTTTTCCAACCTTAAACATCTATTCAAGACTTTCAGTTTCTAGCTACATCATTCAGACTCTGTCCCCAGTACCCAGTCCCCATTCTCATCTCAATCCCCGACCATTCCAGACTCTAGTTTCCGCACTTCAGTTTCCCACCCACTCTACTATATAGAAGTGTACGTATATCGTTTTGCTATAGCTTGCTGTATTATAAGTCTTTCTGCGGCTGCCTTAAATAACAATAATAAACGAACACAGAAACAGAAACCAAAATAAAACCATAAAAAGTGAAAAAATTGACTACAGAAATGACTTTGGAGTTTTGGATTTTCTGCATTTTGGAGTATCTCTGAATTTTCTCTTGGGGGAGGCACATTCAGCAAGGATCAAGGATTTCAGATCTCTGATCTCCGATCTCGGATCAGTTTTGATGGTTTGACAGGGGGTAATCGTAATTGTAATCGTAACCGCTTGCTAGCCCAAAGCGTTTGATTAGATATTGTATATATTTTAGTTCGTATTGGATACACTTGTTCCTCTGCCTGCTAGCATGTGCTTCGGTATTATTATATCCGTCAATCGCTCTTACAGTATTATATTAATGCTATATAGTAGCCCTCTTTCTTTGCCTTCGTTTTTTTTTTTTAAGGGTGTTACACAAGTTTCATTTATAGTTTCATTATTCACCTTCTTTTAAAATTCAAAATACCTGCATAATTGGGGCTGCTATATTATTATTTTTTCTTTTGGGGATTCGTAAAAGTTTCGACTAATACAATAAACACGAATAATATCTTTTCTTTAATATAGAGATTTTACGTTTGCCTGTTTTTTGTTTTTCTCTTCTTTTCTTTCTTTGTTGGTTTTTTTTTGTTTTGTTTTGTTTTTGTCTTTTTTTGTATATTTTTGCTATGCGGTTTTGAAAACTATTTTGATCTTTGGATTACTATGCAAGGTAGCTCGACGTTATACAATGAATAAGCAACAAATAATCATCATTCATCATTCCACATTTCACATTCAACATTCAACATACAACATTCCACTCGTATGAGTAGCTCTTTATTGGATCTTAGGGATCTCTCTCTCTCTGCTTGCGTTGCGCATTTGGTGATTGATTGTTTGATTTTTTTATATTTTGTTTGTTTTGTAATTAATTTGTTCAAAATAAATATCAATTAATTACTTAGCTTTAGTTTGTTGTCTTTTGGGGTTTTTTTGTGGGTTGAAATAAGTTTTTGGCAAAAGCTTAATAGACGGCATTGGCAAACAAAATGGCGTCATGCATGTGACCCGTTACTCCGCCATATTAGCTCCTGCTTCTTACTTCCGGTTGCCGGTTCCCTTGCGCACGAAACTTGCCATATTGCATTCGAGTGTATTGTATCTTTGATCATTTATCTTTCATCTTTCATCTTTTATCTGTTGCTGTTTTGTTGTTTTTGGTTCTGATTCTGATTCTAGTTCTGGTGTTGCAGTCATCGTCGTTGTCGTTGTCTTTGTTTCATTGTCATTGTCCTGTGTGGTGTCCAAGTGTGTCTGCTGACAGTGGCCCGTTGCCCCGCACAATCGTTACATATATAGGCAATACGAGGGCTACGAGGGCTACGCTCCTCCGTCAGTGTTCAGAGTGTTGGCAATAGTGATTTGTGATTGGTTGGTTGGTTTGTTGGTTTGTTGGTTGGTTGCTTTCTGTTTTAGTCATCGTCGAATGCAATAAACAAGCCCGTGGCCTAGAACTCCAGGCGATAGGCGGAGCACGAGGTCTCATGATCCTGCAAGTTGATCGTGCAGCGCGAAGCCGATGGCGAGAGATCGATGCGATGCTTGGCCAGCAGCTCCTCGTTCTCAGCCACCCAGTAGCCAAGCACATCGGTGTCGTATGTGGGTATGATGGTCACCTCTGTGAATTGCGAATGGGAATGGGAATCGCAAATTAAGTAAACGCTCTGAAAGATCACACTCACTCTCCATCTGACTTACCCAGCTCTTTGTCCTCCCAGGTCTGTTTGGCCTCCAGCAGGGCGTCGTACACCTGACGGCTGGGCTCAGTGCCCGAGAAGACATAGTAGCGTGCACGGACGCGCTTGAAGAAGTCCACGTGGGCGTAGTACGAGTTGCCGTTGTGGGGCACATAGGTTAGATCCACGTAAACCGGTGCCGGCTTCTTGCTGACCTTGTTCGGCGATTCGCTGCGCTTGCGGAGGTTCTTCTCGTTGTTCAGACGCGTCTTGGTGGCCACCAGGCGACGCTCCTTCTTGGGCGTGGTGCGGATATCGGAACCACCCTCGACGGGCAGCGGTGCGGGTGAGGGTAATCCGAGGGGCTTGCCCCATTCCTCCAGGCGATCCTTGGGATCCTTGGGCAGGGTGCCAGAGCCGCCACTGGTGCTGGTGCTGCTGCTGCTCGTTGTGGTCGTGGTTGTGGCTGTAGTTGTCGTCATGGCTGCTCCATCTCCTTCCTCCTTCTTCGCCTGTGATGCTGTCTCTGTGGTTTTAGTCTGACTGTCGCCCACTGAGCTGAAGCTGCTCTCGGCGATGCGCAATCGCTGGACATCGCTGAGTGGGAACCGTTGACGCTCGGCGGTGCTGGTGACAATCTGTTCGACCTCGTCGGCCTTTGATGGGGAGTAGGAGTACTTGGCGGTGACGGAAGACATTACCTCGGCGCCGCGCGCCTGCACATGCTCCTCGAGCGCCTTCTGGAAGTCCTTGTCGGCCTGGTCGAGGAACTTGTGTCCGGCCCAGGTCTGGCTGCTGCTCTCCACACTGTCCGACGACTGGCTATCGCCTGGCGCCCCACCGGCTGCTCCCTGGATGGGTATTGGCTCGGTGCTGCTGCTGCTGCTACTGGGCTTTACATCGAAGCTGTCGGGCAGCGCCCCGTAGAACGAGGTGGCCATGGGATCGGCCGTACGCGGCAGCAGAATGGAGCGAGCCGTGGAGTGCTCCTCGCTGCCGTATTGCGGCGGAATGTCATCTTGGCTGTCGTCGGCATCCAGGTCGGACCGCTTGCTCACGCCCGAGCTGGAGTGCTGCAGTTCGTAGCTGGTGGCACTTCTGGGCGAGCCGGGCAGCTCCTCATCGTCCTCGCTGCCCGGAGTGCTGGAACGGTGGCTAGAGCCTCGCAGCAGAGCCACCTCCTTGGGCAGGATCTGGTCGCGGTCGCTCTTCTCGCTCTCACTGGTGGTGCGGGTGGTGGTGACGACCACCTTCTCGCTGTCCGGCTCCGAGCTGTCCGTGGTCGTCACCGTCTTCTGCTCGGTGACGATCTCCTTGCCGTCCGAGGATATCACCTTGGTCACCGTGGTGATTGTTGTGGTAATGATCTTTTCCGTGCTACCGCTCAGCGCCGTGGTGCACTCGATGCCGCGCAGCTCGTGCAGATCGGGCAGATCGGCTTCGACGTCTCCCTGGTCGCCGTCCAGGGACATCTGCTTGAGCTCGTCCTTGCTGACGCGTGGGAACGGCGACGTTGGCTTCGGCGACGACTCGGGCGTCTCAGTGTGCGACTCCCGGCCCAGCGGCGTGGGTATGGACTGACTCTCAGAGGTTAGGCCGCCGGGACTCGACTTGCCGCTGATATCCTTGGGCGATAGTGGACCCGAGGTTGAAGCAATGCTGCCACCCCCAGCAGCTCCGCCTGACGAGGAGCCCGTTGTCTTAACGCTGGGACTAACGGGTGCCGTCGGCGGCGTCTTGCGGTCCACGGGGTCACTCTGGCCCTGTGCCTGGTCCTGGTCGATCTGCGTGAGGGTGATGGACTCTACCTTGGTGGCAGTCTTCGAGGAGGTGCTAGATTGCTGAGTGCTGCTGGTGGTGCTGCTCTGCTGGTCGCTGGATTGCAGCAGAGTTGTTGTCTTGCTTATGGCTGTCGTATCCTTGGATGTGCTGGACTGCTGTTGCTGTTGCTCCTGCTCCTGTTCGTGATGGTCCTCCTCGTGCTCCTCGAGCGTGGCAATCGACTCGACCTCCTCGGAGGGCTTGTAGATGCTGGTCATCATGATGGTGGCTATCGACTTGGAGCGTCCCTCCTTCACGCTGGCGCGCTCCTCCTCCTCGTCGCCGTCAATGTCCTCGTCCTCGGGGTCGCTGTGGGTCTGGCGACCCTCGCTGGTGTGGCTTAGCACTGACTCGCGCCTCGACTCGTCCGTGCCGACGAAAAGTATCCTCTGGGAGGATGTTGTGCTGCTGGTGGTGGCCTTCCTCAGGCACTCCTCGGCCGTCTTGGAGGCCTCGGCACTGAACGTCTCCTTGGCCGAGAGGATCTTCTCCGTGGCCAGAAATTCGGCGACGGTCTCCTTGAGGCCCTCATCCCTGGTGCTGGTGCTGCTGATTGTGCTGCTTTCGTGGGTCTCCTCCTTCGTTTCCTTGGACTGGGCCTTCAGGGCGCTGGTTGTCTGAATCTCGCTGACAATGGACTCTGAGGAGCACTCTTCGGACTGGATGAGCTCCTCCAGCATCGAAGAGGCTGCGGTGCTTGTCTTCTCCACCAGTTTGATGAGGCTGTCGCTCTCGCTGTCCTCCTTGACGCTGCTGGTCGCCTTCTCTGTGACCATGCTGGAGAGGGACTCGCATCGCGAGCCGTCTTCCACCTTCAGACTGCTGCTCAGGGACTCGCTGGACTGGAGGGTGGAAGACGCCTCCTTCAGAAGGCTCTGGCTGATAGTGGACTTGGATACGGACACCGATTCACTGGACTTCGCCTCCCTCTTCTCCTCCTTGGTTTCGATTGTGGTCGAGACAGTCGACGTCTCCCCGTCCTTGGCGCTTGTGTGGCTAGTGCTAGAGGCTGGACGCGAGGTTTCAGTCTCCTTGGGAGCCTTGACTTCCTTGTCGCTGATATGACTGGCCACTGACTCGGGACGGGAGGCCTCCTTGGCTTCTTCCTTGTGACTCTGGTGGCTCTCACGCCTGGCTGGAGTTGGAGACTTATCATCCACCTGCTCGGTTGTGCTGCTGAGCTGTGAGGCGGGGCGCGAGGTCTCTTTCGAGGCGACCTGGGACTTATCCTGCTGCTGCTGCAATTCTTCCTCCTTCGCTTGGCTCTTGTGGCTTGCAACGGACTCGGGGCGAGATGGAATTGATTCCGTGGCTTCCTGTTGGCTGGCTGCAGATTCTGGACGGCTCGGATCTTTGCTGGCTGCTCTGTCTGCTCCCTCCCGCAGCTGGGCCTTTTCGGACTGCTCGATTTTGTCCTTTTCTTCGATGGAGATGGGGCCGGACTTCTGATCGGGTGAGGACTTTTCGGATTCTATTTCAACCTTCATCACATTGATTTCCAGGGACTCTTTAGTGGGTGTGGAGGCTGTCTTGGGGCTTTTTTCGGACTCATCGTCCTCGGGATCAGCGGACTTTAGCTTCTCCTCCAGCTCCTTCTCATCAAAGTCGGGTATGATGTCGGTAATGTCCTTCTCGGACTTAAGCACCTTGGCCACATCGGCCACAATTTTGAAGACCTCCTCCTCGCGCGGCGACAGCGGACGCACGGGCTGCTGTGGCAGCATGGCTGTCTTCTCGGTTGGTGGCGAGAACCTGTGCTCCTCATCCTCTTCCTTGATGTCGTGCAAAACGGGCTCATCGCGCTCACAGATAGTCACCGTGAACTCGGGCGAACCAACGGTGGTGATGTGCGTCTCCCGTAGCTCAGAGAAGCCACTGAGATCTAGGCTGCCCTTATCAGAAGCATCTTCAACGTCGACGACACCTGTTTTGGTGACCAGCTCTGAGACCACTTTCTCTGAGACATCGGTGACTTTATCTGAGACCTCTGTGAGCATGGCCCCAGCAGTCTCGACAGCAGCGTTGATCAAAGAGGTCACAGCACTCACTTTGGTGTCCACGACAGACTGCAGCTCTGTCAGCTGTTGGCTGCTCTCCTTGCTGACCTTCTCCAGGGTTTCCACAACTGTGCTTTCAATAATCTCGACGGTGGTGGCCGTCTTCTGCTCCACAAGTTTCTCATCCACTTTCACCTTGGTGTCCTTGAGATCCAACAAATCAATTAGCTCAACGCTTGCTGGGCCACTTTCTGCTTGGGTGATATGCTTTTCCACTGTTTCAATGGTTTCTTCAAGGGCTTCCAGCAGAGGGGAAGCCTCATCCACAGGACTGGAGGCCGTGTGCGCTGCAGCAGCGGCCTGGGAGAGTTCAGCGGGCTTTGATACTGCACTAGATCCCAAAGAAGTATGCAGCGGGGCCTTCGAGAAGTCTCCATCGGCTACATCGACGGGACTGGACAGGGTCGGCAGCTCTCCTTTCGCTTCGCTTGTGATTTGGCTCAACTCAAGGCTTAAGTCAGCGATGGATTTTGGGCCCTCCTCGATCGGGGACGAAGCTGTTTCTATAGCCGACTCTGGCCGGGACACTTCCTTTGAGGCAGCGGCCGACGACTTCTCATCCTTAACGCTTCCAGCAACAGATGCGGGTCGTGATACCTCCTTTGATGGCGCGGGTGACTTGTCATCGCTCTTTGTACTGTCCGGCTTAACGCTTTCGGCAAGCGACTCGCGCCGGGAGGCCTCAATCGACTTGTCGTCTGTTGTACTGTCAGGTTTGGGGCTAGCAATCGTGGCACCATCGATGGCTGAGTCCGGTCGCGATGTTTCCTTGGAAGCCGCTGCAGGAGATGCGCTGCTCTTTTTACTCTCAGCTAGGGATTCGCGACGCGAAGCCTCCTTTGATTTGTCATCAGGTACGCTCTCTACCTTCTCAGCATCGTCCTTGACGCTTTCTACAACGGATTCTGGTCGAGAGGCTTCCTTAGTGGAGGCTTCCTTCACACTTTCAGGCTTACTAGTTTCTGCGATCGATTCGCGACGTGATGGCTCCCCTGACTTTGCTTTATCACTGCCTTCTTCTGCAGGAGATTCTGGCCGCTCAAAGTCTTTACCGAAAGGGGACTTGGGGGCTTCATCAATAGGACTCGATACAGTCTTCTCTATGCCGACTTGGGCAAGTTCAGCTGGCTTTGGAGGGAAAGACTGTTGTGTTGGGGCGCTAGTTGTTGCGGGAGGAAAAACGCCATGAGCAACGTCGACAGGACTGGAGAGCGTGTGCAGATTCCCCTGCAAGTCAATGATCAAAGGCAGCATTGTTTTTTCAGCTTGTTCGAATTGTGCGAAATCTTTTGGTGCCTCCTCAATTGGAGAAGATACAGTTTCCGCCACCGAGCCCGGTCGCGATGTTTCCTTCGAAGGAACTTGAGACGGTTCCTTTGACTTTTCATCTTTCAAACTCTCTGGCTTCGCCGATTCTTCTTTTAGACTTTCGGCAGCAGATGCTGGCCGTGAGGGCTCCTTCGATGGCGTGGAAGACTTATCATCCTTAACACTCTCTCCCTTGACACTTTCTGCAGGAGAATCTGGCCGTGGCGACTTATGGTCAGCATCGGAAGGAGATTTCGGCGCTTCATCAACAGGAGACGAGACAGTTTCTGCTGTGGCAACTTTCGAGTGTTCTGCCAGTTGGGTGGGAACAGCTGCAGGCCCAGTTGAAGTGACCGGAACAACATGTGAAAAGTCGCCCTGGGCAACGTCAACGGGACTAGAATCTGTAGGCAGCTTGCCTGGAGTAGCACCCGTTTGTAGACTCAGAGTTAGGTGAGCTTTTGTTATATGCTCGATCTCTGGTAACTCACTTGGCGCTTCTTCAATTGGCGAAGAGACCGTTTCCCTAGGCGATACGGATGACTTGGTGTCCTTTTCGTGGTCATCAGGAATAATTTCTGCAACAGATGCAGGCCTTGGCGAAGCTTCCTTCGAAGGAACAGCAGACTTTTCAGCTGCTGATTGCCGTCTCGATGCCTCCTTCGACTCGTCTACTACTGTTTCTGTCTTTTTAGCCACATCTTTGATACTTTCGACCACTGATCCTGGTCGAGAGGGTTCTTTTGAGGCAAGTGGAGATTTATCGTCCTTGGCGCTTTCACCCCTTACGCTTTCCGCTACAGATTCACGACGGCTTTCTAGTTTCTCGGCTTCATCCTTTGTGGCAAGTGGAGACTTCTCGTCCTTGGCGCTTCCGGCCTTAACGCTCTCTGCGACCGATTCCCGACGGCTTTCTGGTTTCGCGGTTTCATCCTTGACGCTCTCTGCAACAGATTCTGGGCGAGATGCGTCCTTTGAATCGAGTGGAGACTTCTCATCCTTAGCGCTTCCAGCTTTTACGCTTTCCGCGACAGATTCACGACGGCTTTCTGGTTTCTCGGCTTCATCTTTGACGCTTTCCACGACCGACTCTGGTCGGGATGCGTCCCTTGAGGCAAGTGGAGACTTCTCATCTTTAGCGCTTTCTACCTTTACGCTCTCTGCGACCGATTCGGGACGGCTTTCTGGTTTTTCAACTTCACCTTTGACGCTTCCCACTACAGAAGGTGGACGCGAGGGTTCTTTAGAGGCAAGTGGAGACTTCTCGTCCTTGGCGCTTCCAGCCTTAGCGCTTTCTGCGACAGATTCACGACGGCTTTCTAATTTCTCGGATTCATCTTTGACGCTTTCCACGACTGACTCTGGTCGGGATGCGTCCTTTGAGGCAAGTGGAGACTTCTCGTCCTTGGCGCTTCCGGCCTTGACGCTCTCTGCGACCGATTGCCGACGGCTTTCTGGTTTCTCGGCTTCATCTTTGACGCTCTCTGCAACAGAAGGTGGCCTTGAGAGTTCCTTTGAGGCAAGTGGAGACTTCTCGTCCTTGGCGCTTCCAGCCTTAGCGCTTTCCGAGACAGATTCACGACGGCTTTCTAATTTCTCGGATTCATCTTTGACGCTTTCCACGACTGACTCTGGTCGGGATGCGTCCTTTGAGGCAAGTGGAGACTTCTCGTCCTTTGCGCTTCCAGCTTTAACGCTCTCTACCACCGATTCACGACGGCTTTCTGGCTTCTCGGCTTCATCTTTGACGCTCTCTGCAACAGATTCTGGGCGAGATGCGTACTTTGAATCGAGTGGAGACTTCTCATCCTTAGCGCTTCCAGCTTTTACGCTTTCCGCGACAGATTCACGACGGCTTTCTGGTTTCTCGGCTTCATCTTTGACGCTTTCCACGAACGACTCTGGTCGGGATGCATCCTTTGAGGCAAGTGGAGACTTCTCATCTTTAGCGCTTTCTACCTTTACGCTCTCTGCGACCGATTCGGGGCGGCTTTCTGGTTTTTCAACTTCACCTTTGACGCTTCCCACTACAGAAGGTGGACGCGAGGGTTCTTTAGAGGCAAGTGGAGACTTCTCGTCCTTGGCGCTTCCAGCTTTAATGCCTTCGGCAACGGATTCCCGACGGCTTTCTGGTTTCTCGGCTTCATCCTTGACGCTCTCTGCAACAGATTCTGGGCGAGATGCGTCCTTTGAGGCAAGTGGAGACTTCTCGTCCTTGCCGCTTCCGGCCTTAACGCTCTCTGCGACCGATTCCCGACGGCTTTCTGGTTTCTCGGCTTCATCTTTGACGCTCTCTGCAACAGAAGGTGGCCGTGAGGGTTCCTTTGAGGCAAGTGGAGACTTCTCGTCCTTGGCGCTTCCAGCTTTAACGCTCTCTACCACCGATTCACGACGGCTTTCTAGCTTCTCAGCTTCATCTTTGACGCTCTCCGCAACAGATTCTGGGCGAGATGCGTCCTTTGAGGCAAGTGGAGACTTCTCGTCCTTGCCGCTTCCGGCCTTAACGCTCTCTGCGACCGATTCCCGACGGCTTTCTGGTTTCGCGGCTTCATCTTTGACGCTTTCCACGACCGACTCTGGTCGGGATGCGTCCTTTGAGGCAAGTGGAGACTTCTCATCCTTAGCGCTCCCGGCCTTAACGCTCTCTGCGACTGATTCCCGACGGCTTTCTGTCTTCTCGGCTTCATCTTTGACGCTCTCTGCAACAGAAGGTGGACGTGAGGGTTCCTTTGAGGCAAGTGGAGACTTCTCGTCCTTGGCGCTTCCAGCTTTAACGCTCTCTACCACCGATTCACGACGGCTTTCTAGCTTCTCAGCTTCATCTTTGACGCTCTCTGCAACCGATTCTGGGCGAGATGCGTCCTTTGAGGCAAGTGGAGACTTCTCGTCCTTGGCGCTTCCGGCCTTAGCGCTTTCTGCGACAGATTCACGACGGCTTCCTAGTTTCTCGGCTTCATCTTTGACGCTCTCTGCAACAGATTCTGGGCGAGATGCGTCCTTTGAGGCAAGTGGAGACTTCTCGTCCTTGGCGCTTCCGGCCTTAGCGCTTTCTGCGACAGATTCACGACGGCTTCCTAGTTTCTCGGCTTCATCTTTGACGCTCTCTGCAACAGATTCAGGGCGGGATGTGTCCTTTGAGGCAAGTGGAGACTTCTCATCCTTGGCGCTTCCAGCTTTTACGCTCTCCGCGACAGATTCACGACGGCTTTCTAGTTTCTCGGCTTCATCTTTGACGCTTTCCACGACCGACTCTGGTCGGGATGCGTCCTTTGAGGCAAGCGGAGACTTCTCATCCTTTGCGCTTCCAGCTTTAACGCTCTCTACCACCGATTCACGACGGCTTTCTGGCTTCTCGGCTTCATCTTTGACGCTCTCTGCAACAGATTCTGGGCGAGATGCGTCCTTTGAGGCAAGTGGAGACTTCTCGTCCTTGGCGCTTCCGGCCTTAGCGCTCTCCGCGACAGATTCACGACGGCTTTCTAGTTTCTCGTCTTCATCTTTGACGCTTTCCACGACCGACTCTGGTCGGGATGCGTCTTTTGAGGCAAGCGAAGATTTCTCGTCCTTGGCGCTTCCGGCCTTAACGCTCTCTGCGACCGATTCCCGACGGCTTTCTTGTTTTTCAACTTCATCTTTGACGCTTTCCACTACAGAAGGTGGACGTGAGGGTTCCTTTGAGGCAAGCGGAGACTTCTCGTCCTTGGCGCTTCCAGCCTTAGCGCTTTCCGCGACAGATTCACGACGGCTTTCTAGTTTGTCGACTTCATCTTTGACGCTTTCCACGACCGACTCTGGTCGAGATGCGTCTTTTGAGGCAAGCGGAGACTTCTCATCCTTAGCGCTTTCGGCCTTAACGCTCTCTGCGACCGATTCCCGACGGCTTTCTGTCTTCTCGGCTTCATCTTTGACGCTCTCTGCAACAGATTCTGGGCGAGATGCGTCCTTTGAGGCAAGTGGAGACATCTCGTCTTTGGCGCTTCCGGCCTTAGCGCTTTCCGCGACAGATTCACGACGGCTTTCTAGTTTCTCGGCTTCATCTTTGACGCTTTCCACGACCGACTCTGGTCGGGATGCGTCCTTTGAGGCAAGCGGAGACTTCTCATCCTTTGCGCTTCCAGCTTTAACGCTCTCTACCACCGATTCACGACGGCTTTCTGTCTTCTCGGCTTCATCTTTGACGCTCTCTGCAACAGATTCTGGGCGAGATGCGTCCTTTGAGGCAAGCGGAGACTTCTCGTCCTTTGCGCTTCCAGCTTTAACGCTTTCTACCACCGATTCACGACGGCTTTCTGGCTTCTCGGCTTCATCTTTGACGCTCTCTGCAACAGATTCTGGGCGAGATGCGTCCTTTGAGGCAAGTGGAGACTTCTCGTCCTTGGCGCTTCCGGCCTTAGCGCTTTCCGCGACAGATTCACGACGGCTTTCTAGTTTCTCGGCTTCATCTTTGACGCTTTCCACGACCGACTCTGGTCGGGAGGCGTCCTTTGAGGCAAGCGGAGACTTCTCATCCTTAGCGCTTCCAGCTTTTACGCTCTCCGCGACAGATTCCCGACGGCTTTCTGGTTTCTCGGCTTCATCTTTGACGCTCTCTGCAACAGAAGGTGGCCGTGAGGGTTCCTTTGAGGCGAGTGGAGACTTCTCGTCCTTGGCGCTTCCGGCCTTAACGCTCTCTGCGACCGATTCCCGACGGCTTTCTGGCTTCTCGGCTTCATCTTTGACGCTCTCTGCAACAGATTCTGGGCGAGATGCGTCCTTTGAGGCAAGTGGAGACTTCTCATCCTTGGCGCTTCCAGCTTTTACGCTCTCCGCGACAGATTCACGACGGCTTTCTAGTTTCTCGTCTTCATCTTTGACGCTTTCCACGACCGACTCTGGTCGGGATGCGTCTTTTGAGGCAAGCGGAGATTTCTCGTCCTTGGCGATTCCGGCCTTAACGCTCTCTGCGACCGATTCCCGACGGCTTTCTTGTTTTTCAACTTCATCTTTGACGCTTTCCACTACAGAAGGTGGACGTGAGGGTTCCTTTGAGGCAAGCGGAGACTTCTCATCCTTATCGCTTTCGGCCTTAACGCTCTCTGCGACCGATTCCCGACGGCTTTCTGTCTTCTCGGCTTCATCTTTGACGCTCTCTGCAACAGATTCTGGGCGAGATGCGTCCTTTGAGGCAAGTGGAGACTTCTCGTCCTTGGCGCTTCCGGCCTTAGCGCTTTCCGCGACAGATTCACGACGGCTTTCTAGTTTCTCGGCTTCATCTTTGACGCTTTCCACGACCGACTCTGGTCGGGAGGCGTCCTTTGAGGCAAGCGGAGACTTCTCATCCTTAGCGCTTCCAGCTTTTACGCTCTCCGCGACAGATTCCCGACGGCTTTCTGGTTTGTCGGCTTCATCTTTGACGCTCTCTGCAACAGAAGGTGGCCGTGAGGGTTCCTTTGAGGCGAGTGGAGACTTCTCGTCCTTGGCGCTTCCGGCCTTAACGCTCTCTGCGACCGATTCCCGACGGCTTTCTGTCTTCTCGGCTTCATCTTTGACGCTCTCTGCAACAGATTCTGGGCGAGATGCGTCCTTTGAGGCAAGTGGAGACTTCTCGTCCTTGGCGCTTCCGGCCTTAGCGCTTTCCGCGACAGATTCACGACGGCTTTCTAGTTTCTCGGCTTCATCTTTGACGCTTTCCACGACCGACTCTGGTCGGGATGCGTTTTTTGAGGCAAGCGGAGACTTCTCATCCTTGGCGCTTCCGGCCTTAACGCTCTCTGCGACCGATTCCCGACGGCTCTCTGTCTTCTCGGCTTCATCTTTGACGCTCTCCACAACAGATTCTGGGCGCGATGCGTCCTTTGAGGCAAGTGGAGACTTCTCATCCTTGGCGCTTCCAGCTTTTACGCTCTCTGCAACAGATTCACGACGGCTTTCTAGTTTCTCGTCTTCATCTTTGACGCTTTCCACGGCCGACTCTGGTCGGGATGCGTGGAGGGGGGAGGCAAGTGGAGACTTCTCGTCCTTGGCGCTTCCGGCCTTAACGCTCTCTGCGACCGATTCCCGACGGCTTTCTTGTTTTTCAACTTCATCTTTGACGCTTTCCACTACAGAAGGTGGACGTGAGGGTTCCTTTGAGGCAAGCGGAGACTTCTCGTCCTTGGCGCTTCCGGCCTTAACGCTCTCTGCGACCGATTCCCGACGGCTTTCTGGTTTCGCGGTTTCATCCTTGACGCTCTCTGCAACAGATTCTGGCCGAGATGCGTCCTTTGAAGCGAGTGGAGACTTCTCGTCCTTGGCGCTTCCGGCCTTGACGCTCTCTGCGACCGATTCCCGACGGCTTTCTGGTTTCGCGGTTTCATCCTTGACGCTCTCTGCAACAGATTCTGGCCGAGATGCGTCCTTTGAATCGAGTGGAGACTTCTCGTCCTTGGCGCTTCCGGCCTTGACGCTCTCTGCGACCGATTCCCGACGGCTTTCTGGTTTCTCGGCTTCATCTTTGACGCTCTCTGCAACAGAAGGTGGCCGTGAGGGTTCCTTTGAGGCGAGTGGAGACTTCTCGTCCTTGGCGCTTCCGGCCTTAACGCTCTCTGCGACCGATTCCCGGCGGCATTCTGGTTTCACGGTTTCATCCTTGACGCTCTCTGCAACAGATTCTGGCCGAGATGCGTCCTTTGAATCGAGTGGAGACTTCTCGTCCTTGGCGCTTCCGGCCTTAGCGCTTTCCGCGACAGATTCACGACGGCTTTCTAGTTTCTCGGCTTCATCTTTGACGCTTTCCACGACCGACTCTGGTCGGGAGGCGTCCTTTGAGGCAAGCGGAGACTTCTCATCCTTAGCGCTTCCAGCTTTTACGCTCTCCGCGACAGATTCCCGACGGCTTTCTGGTTTCTCGGCTTCATCTTTGACGCTCTCTGCAACAGAAGGTGGCCGTGAGGGTTCCTTTGAGGCAAGTGGAGACTTCTCGTCCTTGGCGCTTCCGGCCTTAACGCTCTCTGCGACCGATTCCCGACGGCTTTCTGGTTTCGCGGTTTCATCCTTGACGCTCTCTGCAACAGATTCTGGCCGAGATGCGTCCTTTGAGGCAAGTGGAGACTTCTCGTCCTTGGCGCTTCCGGCCTTAGCGCTTTCCGCGACAGATTCACGACGGCTTTCTAGTTTCTCGTGTTCATCTTTGACGCTCTCTGCAACAGATTCTGGGCGCGATGCGTCCTTTGAGGCAAGTGGAGACTTCTCATCCTTGGCGCTTCCAGCTTTTACGCTCTCCGCGACAGATTCCCGACGGCTTTCTAGTTTCTCGGCTTCATCTTTGACGCTTTCCACGACCGACTCTGGTCGAGATGAGTCTTTTGAGGCAATCTGAGACTTCTCGTCCTTTGCGCTTCCAGCTTTAACGCTCTCTACCACCGATTCACGACGGCTTTCTGGCTTCTCGGCTTCATCTTTGACGCTCTCTGCAACAGATTCTGGGCGAGATGCGTCCTTTGAGGCAAGTGGAGACTTCTCATCCTTGGCGCTTCCAGCTTTTACGCTCTCCGCGACAGATTCACGGCGGCTTTCTGGCTTCTCAGCATCATTTTTGACGCTCTCTGCAACAGATTCTGGCCGAGATGCATCCTTTGAGGTAAGTGGAGACTTCTCATCCTTGGCGCTTCCGGCCTTAGCGGTTTCCGCGACAGATTCACGACGGCTTTCTTGTTTTTCAACTTCATCTTTGACGCTTTCCACTACAGAAGGTGGACGCGAGGGTTCCTTTGAGTCAATTGGAGACTTCTCATCCGCAACGCTCTCCCTGCGCGATGGTTCTTCTGCCTGCTTTGAGGCATCAGCTTGCTTTGGTTCCTCTTTGGAATGGGTCGGTGCCATTTGCTGCTTATCGAGTTTCACTTCCACTTCAACCGCTTCCTCAATGGTGGCAGGACTCTCCATGGATGCGGTGTCCTCGCGATCTTTGGCCTTTGGCGATGATGCGATTGCAGGTCCAGTCATATGAGCGGGGAGTTCATCTTCGGAGGTAATGTCACTGGTTTCCTTCTCTTCGGGGGTGCTCGCTGACTTCTTTGCCTCTTTCTGAGTGACCACCGTTGCCTCGATCTTCGTTTCGAGCTCTTGTGCCTCCAGGGCTGTGACCACCACTGCCTCTACTTTTTGGTCCACTTCCATCTGGGCCACCTCATCCGCTTGCTTTTCCACGACGGCTGCTGTTGGGGTTGTGGCCTTGGCTGGTTCCTGGGCAGACACTAGATCTTCTTTAGCTTGCTGCACACTTTCAGCTTTGACCTCAGTTTCCTTGGTTTCCTTTTCGTCATCGGTTTCCTTCTCTTCCTTGGCGGACTCCTCCTTGTGCGAAATGCTTTTGGCACCTAAGTCCTGGCTGTCCTTTTCGTACAGACCCAGGTCGGCCTCCTCATGGACAGGAAGGTCGGCAACCTCATCGGGCGTCTTGATCACATCCCTCATTAGGTTCTGCTGCGCCTCGAAAGTCATTTTCATGGGCAGGACTCGATCGCCGGATTCGGGAAGCTCGGCCGCCTGGACCGTGGTTTTCCCATCCTTAGGCGCCACAGCATCGGCGATGGCAGCGGCCGCGGCCCCTGTGGCCGAAGCTGCATCGGGCAGTATTACTCGGGCCACAACGATTGCTTCCACTTCTTTGGTTTCCTCCTTGACGTACTTCTCCTCGATGACCAGGTCCTCCTTGATCTGGTCCAGCGGAATGCGCTCGTCCTCGGGCAGGGTGGGGGCTGTGGTGGCGCCCGACTCGATGGTGGCGGAGAACTTCTCCTCTGGAAGACTTTCCTGCAGGTTAATCGGCAGTGCTTCGGGCGCCTCCAAGGGTTCGTCCTTGGTGTCCGAAGTCTTTTTGCTGATCTTCTCCTCGGGCGTGGGCGAGGATAACTCCTCCTCGGGTTTAGCCAGCTGCTCCTCGGTACGCGACTTGACAATATCCTTGGCTGAGGCAATAATTTCCTGCAGCTCGGCCTTGATCTCCCCCTCTGCACTAAGATGCTCGTGTCTGGCTGAAGTGGCTGAAGCGGCTGCGACGGCACCACTACCTTCCAGTCGGGCCTTGCGCTCGGCGGCTTCCACCTTCGCAATGGCGGCCTCGATCTCCTCCTCCGCACTCTTCTTGCGCTTTTTCTCGGACTCCTGGGAGTCGCGTTGGTGTTTCTGAATCTCCTCCTCTTTGGTGATGCTGCTCTCCTGCTCGATGATCGAGTCCTCAGTGTACTGCTCGACCTCCTCCTTCTCGATGATCAGGTACTCCTCTTCTTCCTCGGCCTCAGTGGTACTGTCCTGTTTGGCCATCTCCCGCAGTTCCGCCTTGATCAGCTGCTGGCGCTTCATCTCGTCTCGGCTGAACACTGCCTCGATCTCGCGCACCACCTCCTGTTCCTCCTTGAGGTCGTCCAGCTCGCGCTGCTTCTCCGCATCGAGCTCCTGGGAGGCTGTCAGATCCTGCAGCTTCTTGGCAGCTGTCGCATCGTCGGCCGATGGCGTCGATACAAGACTCGAGTCCGTCGTGCCGCCCTTGTCCAGACGCGTCTTCTTGAGGTCCGCTGCTTTCGGCTTGGCCTGCTTGATGGGACTGCCTGGTGCTGGTGCCCGCTTCGAGGGAGACACCCCACGTGGTCGCCTCGAGATGGGCTTCCGCTGAGACGCCGTCTGCGCCGTCGCCTTGGACTCGGCTTGGCTTTGCTGCACCTTTCGCTCAGTGGTAGCCGTTGTTGTAGTGGTGCTGCTGCTGCTGGTGGCACGCCGCGTGGTGGCACTGGTGGTCGTCTGACGCCCTGCGGCCGCCGCTGCTGCCTGCTGCTTGGACTCCAGCACCTTGCGGTTGTTGGCCTCCTTGGCGCTCTTGGCCGGGGTGCTGCTGGGGCTGGACTTGGTGGCCGGGCGGACCATCGACTTGTACTTGCCGTCACGCGAGGCGTTCGCACGGTACGCGGGCGTGGCCGTGGGCGAGCTCTTCTTCTCCTCGCGCTTCACCAGCTTCCGGTCCATGGACTTGGGCGGCTTCGTGTCGATCCTGGAGCGCACCACGGGCTTCACTTCGGCGCGTGGCTTGTCCAGTTTGCCCTTAGCTGCCTTTCCTGCTGCTTGCTTACTGGTGGATGTGGCATCCGCAGGGGGGGCCGCTTCCACGGGCACGGCATCGACGGCATCCTTGGACGTGGCTGCTGCTGGGGCCTCTACCTTTTTCTCTTCATCCTTGTTGTCCTGCTCGGGTTTTTCCTGCTCTCCAGCCTCCTGTTCAGGCTCAACATCGGCCTCAACCTCCGCCTCGACTGGCTCCGATTCTGCAGGCGCTGCCTCATCCCCAGTGTCTGCTCCTGGTTCCGCCTCCGGCTCCACATCCGTGTCTATAGAGTCTGCCTTGGTGCGGACTATCGAGGCAGCAGCAGCGGCAGAAGCAGACGCCGCCGCCGCGGCAGCTGCAGCTGCCACCTTGGCAGCCTCCTCCTTGGCCTTGTTGTCCTGCTGCTGGTGCTGCGGCTGGTGGTGCTGGACGGCAGCGGCGGCAATGGCGACGGGTCCGAACTTGGAGATGGGCTTGTAGCTGGCGCTGGGCGGAGCGGGCGTGGCCTCGATGGCAGACTTGAGGCTCTTGCGGGTGCTGGCGACCGTCTGAATGGCCGGCGCAATGGACTTGGCCGTGCACGTCGAGTGCTTCATGAACTCCAGATGCTTGAGCTTCTCGAGGCCTTCCTGGATCTTAAAGTCAGGCGTACTGCCGGGGAACAGGATGCGGGTGATGGTGTCGTCCGGGTTGGCGGGCTGCCACACGAGCAGTGCGCAAATGGAGACGAGATTCTGCAGCGGGAAGTTAAAGTCCTTGGAGTCGCGGGCGGCGAACAAGCGCTGATCGCCGGCATTCCACTTTTGCATGAACTCCTTCACCTCCTTGGAGTCGCGGGCCGGACTGATCACGTACATGTCCAGGGTGCCGTGGCCCACCTTGTGGTACAGGTTGATCGGCTCCTGGTTGCGGTAGCAGCTCTGCGGCTTCAGATCCAGCGCCTTCAGGTCACTCACGATGCCATGGCCCCGCTCGAACAGGTCGATCAGCAGCGGATTGCGATCCTTATCACCATCGGGACTGGGCAGTCCCTTGCGGTCAGGTACATTGCCAAAGAAGTGCCCGATCTGGGGGTAGACATGCGAGTCCCGCTTGCGGGAGACCACCGCCCCGAGGCCCTGCACATTGCTGTTGTTCAGGCGCGTCATCAGCACAGCGTCCAGTCGGTCCAGGTGGCGGGCAAAGTCCCAAAAGCATGCCTTACGATTGAAGCCGCCATCCACTGCAATGGAAGGACAAGTTTTGGGCTAAGTAATGGCTAGGCTCTGCTGCATATGGATGGATTATCCTTAGAGTGGTGCATTGGTACAATAAAAACCATTTAATAAGCTTCCTGGCTACAGTACTCACCGAGCATATTAAAGCCGTTGATACCGAAGAGAGCTGCATCGCCCTGGCCGCCGGGGAACACATAGAGCGTGGGATGCGTAAAGCGAATATTTCCCACCACATCAGAGGTCTCGAGCAGCTCCCGCAGCGACGTGGGCATCACCATGGGCGCTAGGTAATCTGTGGGATGGCAATCAGGAGGGAATTATAATCAGGTAAACTCCCATTTCAGTCCCACTCGTTGCCCGAACTCACCCAGAAAGCCATTGATGCACTCACTGCTGGTGTCCAGCACATCCACGGGATTGATGCGGATTTTGCACTGACGCGCGAATGATTTATCCGGCAGCGTGTGCCACAGGCCCGCATCCGCGCAATGGATGTTCATGGTGATGGTGTCCGCGTAGGCGCGTATTACCCTTTGTACGTCGTGCTCCTGAAACGCCTCCGCAAAGTCAGCCACCGAAAAGGTTCCATCCTGCCATAAAGGAAACCAGAAAACCATAAAGCGTAAGCGCTTAGGCTGTGTGGACACTCCACTCCTACAGTTACTATAAAACCCACCTGCAGTATCCAGGAACCATTGCCACTGAAGGTGTAGCCGGCATGGATGATGTGCCGATGGCGGGTGAAGCTGCTGAGCAGATTGCGCATGCATTGGATCAGCGTATTGTACTGCGGATGGATGAGCACCTCTGTCACCAGATTCTCGCTGGCATACTGTATCAGGCGTTCACCTGTGGATGGACAGTAAGCATTGGCACATCCATTAGTTTTGTATGGCCTTTACTTTATCCTTTACTTTCAAAGGGAGAATATTTGCTGCCCCCCCCCTTTTGCGTGACCTCGTTTCCGTAGCACTCAGACTCTAATGAATCTATAGCCAATGGAGGGGGCTGTGCTGTGACAGACGCTTAAGGGACTACTGGCACGGACTTGGACTCGAGCACGCACACAAAATCAAGTGGATCTCAATTGTGGGACGATGTTGGGAGTCCGAGTCCCCGCCTCACCCCCTAACATCATGTCTCACGATGCTGGGGAATTATTTAATAAATCTTTAATTTAAATGCTTTAATTAAGTGTGCTCGCTGGTCGGTTGCGCTGCTTCGCTTCAGGTGCGACCTTGCTGGCGACCTTGGCATCTACACCCTCTCTCTGAACCTCCTGCCCGTCCTCTCTGATGATGTGCACTTTATCCCTGAGTTCTGGGCCACCCAAAATGGTTTTATGGGTCACGGTATGCGTACCATACGTAAATAATTTACGCATTTTCCGCACTAAATAGTCGTTGACAAAGAGCCAACAGGCAGAGAGGCAAAGTGACAGAGCGACAGAGAGGGGGTAGAGGCAGAGGCAGGGTCAGCTTTTGCCCATGCAACGCCCACTTCTATATGAATGTGTGTGTGTGTGTGGCAGAAGCAGAGGCAGGGACAGAGCGAACGGTCAAATGTGCTCACGTACGCGTAAAAAATACAAGAAGAGCCTTAACGGGGGTGCACTTCCTATGGCTTCTACCCATCCACCATCCACCATCCCCCACGCCCCACTTCCGCTCTTTCTCTTTCTCTATATGTATGGCTGTCTCTGCCTCTGTCTCTGTCTGTGTGCGTGTGTGTATTCCTGGTGCTTTTTATAAATGATAATCTTTCCGGGCCTCCGACCTGCGTGTGCGATGGCTTATATATTTATCGCATGGAGCCATGTAGCAGCACACGGAATGTTTTTGTGCATGACACCTCGTTCCTTGGCACTACCACACAGCACCCACCCACATTCCCACCCACAGGCCAGGACCTGCGTGTGCGTATACGCAATTCCCATGAATTTAGGTTGCCGCACAGCCATAGCCTCTGTCTGTCTGGTCTGTCACTTGCACACTCGCATAATCGTAAGAATGTATAGTTTATAACTAGGCTGTAGGACACCCAAAGGACATGCCCTGAAGAAGGTGGCATGGCATGGCCTGGCATTAGCATCTCGTTGGGCGTGTAGATTGGGGGTCCTCGTCCCATTGATACACCCTGAGAGAAAACCAGCAAATGGAATGCCAATCGTGCTGCAGATTGCAATAAACTTCAATCTAAAAACGAATGCCAGTCCAGGGCGGGCAATTCTTGCGACCTTATTCCCAGGACAACAGTAAAATAAGTCAGAGGGAGAGAGACTCTCCATCGATATTGAAAGCTATTGGAGCTAGATTTAAACGCAAATCGAATATGAAATTGGACTTTAGATTGGGATGAAAGAGAGGCCAGGGGCCAGGGGCCAGGGGCCAGGTGACACTCTCAAAGCAGACTCCTCGCTCAACCTTAAGACCGCTTGAAGAGTCGCAATCCAAAAGTTGGTGTCCCACACAGACACACACACACAATGCCATGAAAAGTTGCATCAAAGTGCTTAAAGCAAAGCCCCCACCACAGCGCATGCAGGGTGGGGCCACAGTCCGGCACTCGACAAGTCATAAAGGGGGGGGCGAGAACGGAAGTAGATGATCCTGCCCCCTTGCCCCCACTTACACCAAAGTGGCAACATGGCGCCAGATTAACCGTTAATAGTTGCGCTTCGCTACGGCCAGCCAGTGTTGTCCCAACTTTGAAAAAAAAAAAAACTAAAAACAAAAAACGAGAAACGAGAAAAAAACGCCTAAAAATTTCCATAACAGGCGGCAGGCGGAAACTTTTTGTGTTTTTTATGATTTTCTATATATTTCTTGTTTGGCTTTTTTTTTGTATTTGACTACAAAGTAATTACAGTTACGGGCGCCGGTCAGCCTTTCTGCTTTCTCCTCCTTTGATACCTCCTTTGCAGCACTCTGCAGCCCCAAGGGCCCCCAGGAAAAAGTTTCCTGTCAAGCCAACGCGCACGTGTAAAAAAAAGTTTAAAAATGACCTTTCGCACCCCGAAAACCCCTCGCCCACTTTCCCCCTCATTTCATGCTCTCCCGCTGCCCCAAAACTGACCGCAAAAAAGGCTGGAAAATTGCTCAAAATTAAATAAGAAGGCAGGCGAACTGCGAGCTGTCGCAAGCAGGATGCCAGATGAGTGGCAGATCCTTCAACCATGGCATAAGTTTGAGAAAATGTTCAGAAATGGAGCAGAAAAGGTTCAGTAAAACGCAGATACGCTGCACAAAAGCAGAAGGGAAAAGCAGAAAAAATATTTGAAATAGATTAAATAATTAAATTAAATAATTGGCTGAAGGAACGTCGCAGATTTAACAGTTCAATAGTGAAATTTGTTGTCAAAATTTGAATATTATGAACAGATTATTTAAAAGCTGATTCAAAATGTCAGTAAGCGTGAATATAGCAGAAGAACTTGTATGCTAGAAAAACATTCGGTAGAATGAAACTTTGAAGAAACATTAAAAATGGTAGAAAACAAAAGCTTTGGCTTGATACTCGTATAAATACCCAGTCACAGCTATTTAATTGACAAGAGTGACAAATTCCATGATAGATCATACACTTCTCTGTTTAATTAAAACAAAAAAGTGTTCTTGGGTGTACACTGTACATACTGATTATGATTTGAATTATGGGTATGAGTTTTACCCATCAATGCCAACAACATAGTTCTTGTATGCAGGAGCGGCAGCAGAGCTAATGGCCATTGGCCACTAATCCCTGGCAAATATGATGATATGATGATTTTTTATTTAGCGGTTACAGTCGCTGCGCGGGACGGGCCGCTCGACATGTGGCCTGGTATTTATTATTGACCCGTTGCCGATGTGCCGTGGGGCCATCATTAATCAGTCGGGCAGCCGCCAGGGCAGCACATAGTATGCCGGAATTATCTCTGGTCTTGTCTATGGTCTCTGGTCTCTGGTTACGTAAATGTGTGGACTGGCATGGACTGGCATGGACTGGCATGGACTGGCATGGACTGGCATGGACTGGCATGGACTGGCATAGACTGGCATGGATTGGGATGGACTGGCATGGACTGGCATGGATGGATGGCAGCTGTGGCTGGATGCAATGGATTGAGCTGGTGGTGGCATTCTCCTGTTGAACACGACCGATAACATGTTGTAAACGTCTAGCGGTATGTTATCAGCCATCCTGAACTAACCTCCCACTGCAGCACTGCCGCTCTCCTGCTCTCCCGCTCTACCGCTCTCTTTCTCTCTCGCTTCTTTGCATAATTAAAAGGATGCTCGCGCAAGGCGTGTCCCGCTCTCCCGCAAATGACAGACGTCAGCTGTTCTGTTCTGTTCTGTTCTGCTCTGCTCTGTTGTGTCCTGTACATGTGTCTTGATATTAATTGATGTCCTGTCACCATGACACCATCATCATCATCATCATCATACACAGCAATGGAAGGAATGGAGAATGGAGAACAAATCAGGGAACGGCAAGGTAGGTTTGGGGTACACTTGTCATTTCTATTGCTGCTTCTTGTTCCTCTTATTCGTCTTGTCAGGCATAGTTTTATTTGCTTATCGCTGCCGCCCCCTCCAGCAGCAGCAGAGTAGTTCCTACATCTCCTCCTTCGTATCCCTCTGCTGCTCGTATCGCTTCTCTCATATGCAAATCATGTCCATCCATCTATTCTGTCAGTCTGTGCACATCTCCCTCACCCACTCTCTGACCCTCTCACCCTCTCTCTCTCTCTGTCTCCTATTCTCTCGCTGTCTATCTCGTTTTCTCTTCTCCTTTTCTCTGTCAGTTAGTCAGTCTGTCAGTTTCCTATTTGCCTAACTTTTCAGTCAGTGGAGGCGTGAGTTCTCCTACTCATCTCTCCCTGCTCACTCTCCATGCTCTCCATTCTCTCTCTCTTTATGGCTTGAATTATGCATGAGACACACACACACACACGCACATAGTAATTGTCAATACGCGGCCTTGTTGCTGTGTCCCTCATTCTCCCCCCACTAGCTTTCTCCTACTTTCTCCTGCAAGGCACGGCATGGACCCTGTCTATCTATCAATTTTGCATACGTTTTATCTCAAGAATTTCTATGGGTTTTGAGGTTATGCTGGGTCGTGATACGACTCTTTGGCATCCCTCTCTCTCCTCTCTCTTTATCTCCCTTCCATTGTGCCCACTCGTCCCCGCACATCATCCTCTGCATCCTCGTCAACATCCTTTTCAATGCTTATGTGGGTTTCGGCTTAGGCACGAGAGAGATAAGAATGTGTCCAAATCCCCGATGATCCGTAGGCTGAGCGGAGAAGTGGAACACACTTGGAGCGGCAAATTGGGGGAACGATGAGTGATGTGTGGCCGTACGTAGAAGGAGAGAACAGCAAAGGAACAGAAGGTAGTGCAGAGATAACAGAGAAAGCAGCAGAAGACTGTGCTCAGCAGTAAGTGGAGAGTGGAAAATCGAAAGTTGAGAAGTGAAACGAGTTGAATAAAGGCTATGAAAAGAACTAGAATTGAAGTAGAAAAGAAGCGTTCGAATTTAGCCCCTTGCCCGGCTCCTTGCTTGGTGTCCTGAAGTCTATCCATATGCCAACTTACAGTTGTAGCAAAGTAAAAGGAAGTTCCAGTAAAGTGAACTTTTCCTGAAACATCGTAAAGCAAGTCTCTGGTGCCTAACGATTGCAGCGTCGAGTGGCGAGTAGCGAGTGGGATTTGTGGGTTGCAGAGAGTGTAGTGTAGCTCCCAGTGGAACCCTAGCGAGTGGCGAGTGCAAAACCAACAACGAGAAGCGCAAAACTTTCAAGGAATCAATCACTCGAGCAGCAGCAACTTTCAGCTTTTGTTTCTGGTCAAGGCCCCAGCGTCAGAACCTATTGAAGCGTCACCCATGGGAGCGTTTGCTTGATGAGGAGCACTTTAAGAGCAGCGCAGAGCAGAGCAGAGCGCACCTGCTGCAGAGTTTCAAAGTTTCTGCCCGCCTGTCCGCCTGTCCGCTGTCCGTCCCACAAGCAAACTTAACTAAACTGTGCATCAAACTCAATTTTTCAGGAGAGTGAGAGAAGGCGAGACGGAAACTTGCGACTTGTGGGAAGTTGGGGTTGGGATGCTGGAGGAGCGGCGAGGGAGAGCTATAAAACATGAATTATGCGCTTGTTAACGAATGTTTGTAATTGCTGGCAAAAGTTTCTATCTACTTTGACGCTGTCGCCTCTGTGCCTTTATGCACACGAGTATCTCCTTTGGCAGTTGTTCCGACAAGTGTCCTGCTCCTCCAGCTCCTCCAGCTCCTCCTCGCCACAAAGGCAGCAGGCAGCACGCACGAGGGCTGGACAAATCGTGGACCAGAGAACTCTGCTCTGTTGGGACGCAGCAGGACGAAGCACAAAGCGCTCACTGAAGCGAATGCATTCTGTGCATTCTCAATCGCGCCTCAAGAGCCTTCGCCCTGCGGCCTTCAGGATCCCTGCCTCTGCTGCTGCCTTTGGCTGTGGCTCTGCTTGTGTCCATAGCTATGCTTGGTGTGGCATGTGGCACTATGGCTGGGCGGCTGTGCGGCTGTGCGGCTGTTTTGCAGCATCATTATTGGGCTTGGACCGCGGCGCTCTGAGGCGGGCGCCACTTGAGAATTTTGTTTGAGTAGTTTCGAAACGAAATGCGATTGCGAAATGCAAATGGAAAAAAATTTAACAACGGCAGGCGCTGCCAACTTTTTCCATGCCATTGTCCGCGGCGGCTGAATGGGAGCGCATTGAGCGCAGGTGTTGCACTTAGCATGTCCTTCAAGGACAACGGCTCAACGTCAGAGCAGCAGGAGCAGCAGCAGTAGTAGGAGCAGCGTCAGCAGCAGGCAACGCCTGATCAGTGCCTTTATGGAGAAGGGCATTGTCTCAGGGAAAATGGTTCCGCTTGAAGTTTTAGGGTCATCTAAGCGGACTCCAAGTGCTTGTAGAATCACATTATTATCCCTATTTTTAGATGGTATCAAACTATAAAAAGCAATGCCCACAAGTGGCAACATCCCTTTAAAAAATGATTACACGCCAATGAGGTACTTGAAACAAAGCGATTATGAGCAGGCAGATGGAATCTCTGCTGCAGAGCAGCCAATCAAAAGATGATTCGAATCTCCGTCAATCTCTGCGTCAACTTTCGGAGTCCCTGTCGTGGCAATCATCTCCCAAGCCAGGACTCAACGAAGTGCGCAAACAACAAACAACGCGGCAAAAAAAGCAAACACACCACAAGAGACAGCAAACAGCGGGCAGCGGAGAGAACAGAGAGGGAGAGAGAGCGCAGGAGGAGGAGGAGTAGTAGAAGAAAAGCTTTCCCACCGTCGATGCACTGGAAGCCACTTGAATGCATTTCAGCAACGTTTTAGCCTAATCCGCAAAGAAAACAGCAGCAGCAACCAGCAGCACCAGCAACCAAGAGAGCCAGCCCAGCCCGCACCCGCACCCGCAATCCAGTTCAGCTTCAGCTTCAGTTCTGTGCCTCATTGTTCCATTCTGCCTCTGTCGATAATGATGTTGATGATGATAATGTTGTTGTTGTTTTGTTGCTGTTGCTGGCTTTGCTGGCGTTGTTGCACTTTGGGGCAAATGAAAATGCAGCCTCTCGGGGGTGTGGGCTGCTCTGTGCATGGATTTATCACAAAAGCCAGAACAACAAAAGCATGAAAGCATTAAAGCGTTGAGCTTTCGTTGGCTTTTGTGCATTCAATTGTTGGTTGCCCCTGCGCTCTCTCTTTGGGGCACGGTACCCCACCCCACTCGTTCAGGCTTATGGCTTATGGATGGCTGCTGCCACAGCTGCTGTTTGCAAAGACAATTGTCATAATAATTCGTTAGGATAACTTTGTAATTTGCCAGAGGCAGCTTCTTGCTGCTTTTGCTGCTTTTGCTCTTCTTCTTCTGCTGATGATGAGCTCTCGATGAAGTGAAGGACTTACGCTGGATACTTCCACCGATTGGCAGCACACACTTCAAATGCTGCAACATGTATTTAAAGGAGGACGCAGCAAGACTTACCGTGACGTGCCTCCTCGCCCTCGGGCGCATGTTGTGTTATTGTATTGAGCTCCTCCTCCAAATCGACGTGGCAATCGGATACGTCCCAGGAGAGGAATCCTGCAACAGAGAAGAACAGAAAGAAAGAAAGAAAGTCAGATATGCATATCAGAAAATGGCAGTGCCAGGAATTGCTTTCAAGGGGAAAAAGTAAACGGAGAACGCAGAACCACAAAGAACATTTTGGATTGTGGATATGGCAAAACGAATCAGCAGCCACTCGGAAGTGCATTTATTATTGGATTTTGATTTTGAATATGGCAAGGAAAGGGGTAATTGGTTTATGTTTATGCCACACAAGAGTTCTCTTTATGCCACAGCTGGCATCCAAGACCGATTGTTTCTGCTGGTTTCTGAGAGAGGGAAACTTCTGTATAAAAATATGTGAGTGTGTGGCAAGGCCAAAAGGTCATCATGGATTTGCCCAAACCAACGTCAACGCACTCATCCATCACTTTTGCGGGGCAGCACCAGCCCCGAGACTCATACATTAGTTTATGCATTAATTTTGTGTAATAATTGTGCACAGTGTCTGCAAATAGTAGTTGGCTCTCGGTAGTTTTTTTTTTTTTTTGATAAATGAGCAGCCAGGGGTAAACAGAGAGAGAGAGAGAGAGAGAGAGAGAGAAGAGAAAGAGAGCGAGAACAAGGGCGAAAGCGAGGTCGCATTCCGCATACGCCACGATGGACATGAATCCCGCACCCCGCACCCCCTGGACGCCTTTTGATATTTGTTCAGACTGTGCCCTGTGCCCTCACTGCCCATCCAGTCCGTGTATTATGTCATTTGGTCAACAAATTAAGTCAGCCCCCCAACTGCTCCTGCTCCAGCAGAGTGCTCTCCTCTTCCATCACCATCACCATCAGGCGACTTTCGAGGCGAGTATTTGCAAACACTGAACACAACAGCTAGAGAGCAACTGGAGGGTCTTCTAGGGGGTACTAGGGGCACTCTGCCAGATCCATCATTTTCTATTCTATTCACCCACAAAATTAAAAGGGATTTACATTTAGCCGATCATTTCCATGGAAGCCTTCTATGGCATATCAGCCATAGACTTTTCAAAAATAAAACAAAATAATAATCATTATTTGGGGTCTCTGCTGGAAGGACAGGCAATGCAGTTGGCTGTTATGTACCCTTAGCTAGGGTATACATAAAAGGGCAAACTACTCTCTGGGCAGAGCGCCTATGCCCAGCCTCGCCCCATTCCCATTGCCCATGCCCTGGCACCAGGATCATTAGCATGCCCCCGTCTTTCTGTTTCTCCTTCTGTTTGAAGGAAGTTTTTCATTTATGTGGATGCAACCAGGCAGGAAAAAGAGTGTGGAGGCAGCGTGGCAGGTAAATTAATCGAATCTCTCTTAGGAGACTGCCTGCCTCCAGCTCCCCTTTGAAGTTACGGCCTTTGGGCTTTAATTTTCCATCGCATCCGACAGATTGTAAATTATCCCGTAAGCCGCTTGGAAAATTTAATGAACAATCCCGCCGCCTGCCTGTGCCTCCTGCTCCCTCGGCGCCCATGAATGCTCCCATGAATAACTTACTCCAAACGAGACCTTAATGAGTGCTCAACTTTCATTTTTATGCTGCCACGTCCGGCAGAGGCGTCTGGCACCAAAAAGAACAACAAAAAATAAGGTGTGGCAGCCCCATTTGCCTGTGGCATGTGGCAGATATGTTGCAATATCATTGAACGGTGAATAGCTTCCATATGATCCTTGTGTTACTGCTCCTGGCGACTCTCTCTCTCCCTCCTACGACATTCTTTTGTGTCCCAAAAAAATCAGCTCTTTCCCTTTACTTCTGCCTCTCTCCCTCCCTCCCTCCCTCCCTCTCTTTGCGGCAATTTGCGGCACAAATGGCTGGCAACAGCAGCAACAAAAGGCGACGGCAGCAGCAAACAGAAAGGAAGTGAACTTCAAGGCATAAAAATGTAAAATCTTAACACTTTTTTACAGCCAGTGCCAGCGCCAGCGCCAGCACAGATACAGAGCACAGGATCAGGCAGAGGCAGAGGCAGTGGCAAGCAAAGAGAAAGGAAGGGAAAAGCAGGGAGAAAGGAAAGGCGCCAGCACAAAGGAGGAGGCAACAATGTGTGTGGTATGGGGCAGCAGAGGCACACGAAGCCAGATGGCAGTCAAAAGCGCCTACAGCGATTGCACAAAAATAATGAGAAAGTGCGCCCAGGATATGCGGCGCCCAGGATATATATATATAATATATATACGTGTATGTGTGCATGAGAGGATGTGCCCCTCTCTCACTCACACTCACTCCTTGCATCTACCTCTCACTCTCTTGAGCAATCATCGAGCGAATGAAGCCACTCAGACGCTGCTCGGATGGATGGGCTGAAAGAAGGTTCTCTCTGTGTGGTGTGTGGGTGTGTGGGTGGGTGTGTGGCAACTGGCTACAGAATCTGAGTCACACTCTCTACTCGCACTAGTACATGCCACTCCCCCTGCCCCTTTGACTCCCCCCACTGAGCTGCTGTTGGCGCTCTTTCATTTAATATTTATGCGTTGATATCTGTGAGTGAGACTTCAATTTGCTTGGTGCCACATCCAGTGTGGCAGGCCTCGCCCTCACTGTGTGTTTATGTGTGATGTGTGTGCCCGTGCCCGTGCCCCTTCCCCAGTCGCGCTGCTTTATTTATTTATATTTAATTTCTGAGCTCAGAAACAGAATCCGCTCTAAGCCCTGCCACTCTGTGTCGCTGCCACCACCACGGCTGCCTTGCTTGATACTTTCGCACGTGAAACGCCCGACTCCAGCTCAAGTTTTCCAGCTCTGTCTTTCGCTACTTAAACAGACGGCGTGGAGATCCTGCCCTTCCCCTTACCACCAAAGAGCCTTTGCATTCTGATGGCTTCCGATGGCCAACTGCAACAGCGTTGCATTTGTGGCCGCTTATTTCAGATAATTTGCCTCTTTTGCTGCATTACCCTGGCGGCAGTGGTGGTGGCAATGGATGTGGCAGTAGCACTGCTGCAGGCATATATCCTGCCACAGCAGCACATTCCACGTACCATCCATTGCACTCCTCCACATTCGATTGACTGTCCCGACAGCGCCACTAATCGAATGCAAAACGTGACAGAGACAGAGAGAGAGAGAGACAGAGAGAGAGATAGCAAGGAAACACCTGTTCAGGACTCTTCCCGTGTGTAGCATGAACATGGACACCCAGCCAGCAGGTGTAGCTGTGTGTGCCTGTAGCTATTTGTGCCTCTGTGTGTAGGTGGGTGGGTGTGTGTGTGTGGATGTGTGTGGCATGCAATGTCATTGCATCTATCTGATGCCGCTTCCGTTTTTCAGCGTAATGATTGCTGATATGGCGACACGCCTCCCTCCCTGTGACACGCTTGCCACTCGATTGTTTGCACAAAATAGTTGCATAATTTTGTGCGGCGCCCCCACTAAAAGCCACTCGAGAGTCGTACTCGTCGCGTGGGGCATGGCAGCATGGTTGCAGGGACTGGTGGGGGGTTCGTGTTGATTTTGATGTAGCTAAAAAGCCACTTGTCGTTTTTGTTGTTGCAACGACGACCCTTGAAGCCGCGCGCGCGCTCCGTACAGAGGGTAGGCGAAGCGCGTTGAAAAAGTTTGCACAGCCAAATGAATGATGCCGCCGCCTCCATCTTTTCAGGCTCTTGTCTCCTCTCACTCGCTCACTCTCTCTATCTGTATCTCTATCTCTGCATCTCTGCATCTCTCTTGCCACAGTTGAGAGGCTGTGCTGCAACTGTTGGAGGAGAGCAGCGAAAAGGGGCTAAATGTTTGGAAATGCATAAATAAACACATTAAAAAGAAATTAAACACTTGCTCTCATTAATTGCACATTGAGCCAAGTGGATGGATGGATGGCTGGATGGCTCCTTCAAGGGAATGGAGGCTGGAGGTTGAAGAGTGCAGAAGTAAAGGAACTACGGAACTACGGAACTGAAGGACACAGCGCTCCACAAGAGTGGGAAAGTGGTAGACAGTTCTGCTCCGCTTCCGCTTCTTCTGCGTGGCAGATAAACTCAAGAGACAATAACAATTAAAGCGAATCGATAGTAAAGTAAACACAGGGACAGAGAGACATGGAGGCAGAGGGCAGGGCACGGCCTGAAAGCAGGCCTCGGATATCCGGAGTCCATTGTTGTGACAGCAGTGGGCGGCTGGTGGCATGGGTCGCTGTGGAGAGGTCAAAGTGGACGTGGAAGCACAAAACAATGGCGAAAACAATGCTGCGCCTGATTGCCCCACTACTACGTACCGATAAGCAACGTGTCCTGATGAGAGGACAGAGGACGGACAGCACAGACGGACACGGGGCCAGATATAGAAACAAGGACAACACAACGCTGATGATGTTGATGTACTCGGGCAAGGACGAGCTGCGAGGAGCGCACACAGCGATATGTATTCGCCGATAAGAATTGTAATTAATTGGCAGATAGTAGACTCTGCAGCACAATGGAAGTGTGGCAGCAGCCAGCAGGCTATGGCCGGATATGCGTAGAAGAAGATCCTTCATCGCCCGAGAAATGGAAAAAGAGAGAGAGGGAGGATGATGCTGCGCTTTATCGATAGCTTAGTTGGGTGCTGATCGATCCACAGTGTGGATCCCTTTGGTATTTACACACTTGTCGTTTGGTTTGGCTATTTGAACACCTGGCTCTGCTGCGAGTACTGGGGGCGTCCAAATGTTTCAACAAGTTTCATTGTGTAATTAATATTCCGCGCATTTAAAGCTGCTTTATCACGGATTTGCAAAGGCCCTAGGCCCATGCCTCGGAGGGCAGGATGAGGCAACCGAGAATTGCGTCAGCCGTGCGCATTGGTGCGTCATTGCCTCCGCCATTTGCTACAGTTCAATTCCCAATCCCAATCCCAATTCAAAATCCTGCTCTCATTCTCTCACTTTGATGGCCATTTTCATTGTTGAGTCATGTCCATCTCCTGCCTTTCTGCCAGCCTGCCTCACTGCCTGCCTGCCTGCTCTCTTCCCGTCACACATGACGTATGCGCAATATATATTTTGAAGTGTTTTGTTCCCCCCCTAATGGCT